TTACCTGACGAGAGAGGAGAGCTAGACCTGATGGTCTAGCTATAAGGAGTAGTTCCACATTGCTCTTTATTCTCAAATGTCATTTTCTAAATAAAGCATTCCTAGGGCTGGGAGGGACAGCGTTTGAGAGACTGTCTCAGAAAAGGACAAACAGATCACCCCATCTCCCTGTTATTCAACATACTTTTTGCATAAATAAATTGTAGGAATACAGACTATGCAGTAGAGGGACAAAAAAAATAGGAATCCTTAAAGATCATATTACATAAAATTTAGAGACCTATAATCATAACAAAGAACCTGACCAGAGGAGGGGAACTTCTAAAGGATTTAATTGTTTTTATCAGCCATCAATGTGCAGCAATTGAAGATTGTGAACATCAGCTAAATGGAGTGATCTATTTGGAAAAGCCACTGGCGTTATGCATATACAGCCCAGTTCTCCACTTTCTTTGCACTTTTCCACAGTAGAAGCAAAGAAAAAAAAAAAAAAAAAAAAAAAAAAAAAAAAAAAACATCTGTAACAGGAAAATGTGAGGTATAAATTAATTCCCACATTCCTGTACATAAAATATTATTATCAGGACTACCTGGCTCTCTCTGAAGTCAGTGTTTTTACAATACCAAAAGCTGCTAGAGGTGCAGGATAATCCAGAGGGTAACCAAACACTGTTCTTGTTCTCCCCATTCCTGCAAGGGCTGTACAGGAGCACTGCTGTGTACCGATGCCTGCCCAGCACGGTGTGTGCATCTGGGCTCGGGGCACCAGATGGCAGCATTTATTGCCTGCAGATCCTAGAGCAGCCGGGCTGGTGGTTTAGTGCTTGCAGTTCATGCTATCAAACCCCCTAAAGAAGGCATTGCAACCCCTTCTTCCTCCTCTGCCTCGCTCATGAGACCACTGGGTAAGGGCGATAAGCAAGGGCAAAGCAAAAGAGTGAGTGCCACCTCTCCCCGCTCCTTTCCCAGACAAACAATGATTTCTTGCTGTGAGAGGTGCTTGCTCTGCTTAGAAATTCACTTTTTTTTGCCTGTTCCCTCCTGCCTGCCTTTTCCTGGAAGGCTCCAGACCCTCATGGTTATCACAAATACCAGTGAAGGATACTCAGCAGATTTAGCCCCTGCCAAGACCTTTTTTTTTTCTCTAACAGACTTCATGCAAATACCTGACATATCGTTGGTAAGCAGGCTTTTATCTGATAAAGGACAGCTTGGCTGGAATTTCAACGCTGAACCAGGGGAAAGCCTAAAAGATACCAAAAGGCATCTAACCCTCCTCAGTGTCAAACAGCAGCAAGCAGAATGCCCTGGCTGGGAGAGGGCCTCCGAGGCACAGCACCTGGTTTCCCAGCTTCTTTACCCTCATTTCTTCCTCAGGGCTTGAATACCTGAACCCCGGAGTGAAGAACACAAACCAACAGCTGTCCTGCAACATTTCCTGCACTTGAAAAACATTCACAAGGAGATGGCCACACTCTGGCCTGGGTTTAGAGTTAATGACTGAGCTGAGGTTGCTACTGTCAAAAATTACTGCACCTGACGTAGTCACTGCAGTCACAGGAAAAGGAAAAGGAAAAGGGGAAGGTCGGGAAAAGGAAGGTCAGGAAAGGGAAGCCAGCTCCTGATGCATTCTTCCCAGCAAACGCACGCATCAGAGCGAGATCCTGCAATCCTTCCTGTGTCTGGCATGACACCCTGCTGGCCCTGCCAGACCCCTGCCCCAGGTGTGACATATCACCAGATCCCAGGAAGGAATTCAGCCCCTGGCCCCTCACTACTACCTCCTTCCAAAGCTGCACTTCCTGAAAACCAGAATTTAACAATTTCTTTACATTTGAGACACCCGATTTCTTTACCAGAAAGACCCACAGCTTCCTCAAACGGCACCTCAACTTCAATTTCGTGCCTGAAGCCCAAGCCATGACCTGTCAGAGACCCTGAGATCTCCAAGAGCTCCTATGAGACAGCTTCACCGACACAGAGGAGCAGCTTGCTCTGTTTTTGTCCTGGCCTTACAGCCACCACCACTGCTGTGCTCAAGAACCCCCGTTCCAAAGGCCACCAGAGGTTTTTGCACTGCAGCAGAGGACGAGAACAGTTTGTTTCTCCCACCTCTGCTGATTAAATAGCCCTCGTAGGCAGCTAGCCGAAAGATTGACCAACTTGGTTGCATCAGTCAAGCTAGAAAAATAATTGTTGCCCAAGCCTCGGATGCTTCTGTGGCTCTGCTTTATCTAGGCTTCATTTTAAAACCAGCTCATGGTAGTTTTGTCTGATTACCCAAGCAGCAAACATCCAACCATGGCAGTTGCTCAGAAACTGTTTTTTTGTTGTTGTGTTTTTTTTTGAAATACAAGGCACTGACTCCCTTTTTAAAAACAACAAAACAAAACACAACTTTTCCCTGCTCCCCAGCCCTGCTTTCCCTTTGACATCACTATTTCAAAACCAAACTGTGCCGAACCCACAGGGACAGTCTCAGGCCGTTCAGAACCAGCTTTTCTGTTTCATTTGCAGCTTTATTAGCGCTCCTCACCAGGCTCCTGTGAACAGAAGATGCTTCCCCCCAAAACATGATGAATTTTGAATGGCTCCCCTGCTGCCTTTGCAGGGCAGTTCTTGCGCTCGACGGCCCAGGGTCAGCTCGCTATCAGCCTCGCTCCAAGCCGGAGCTGTTTCAAAGCTGTTTATTGTCATGCTTCCTCCTGAAATCAATCATCTTCACAGTTGCAGGTCCTAAACACTGAAAGGGGAACGTTACGGCCACTCGAAGGCCCACACGCTGCAGAGGGGGATTAATCAGGGCGGCTGGATGTGTCCACATGGAATCTGCCTCATTTAGATGGTATTGCGTGTGGGTCTTTTTCCAAAAGTCCTGCGGTGCACATCAAGTGATCTAGGACCAATGACTTCAGCACTCACATGAGGATTACTCATCTAATTAGGGGGTTTGCAGGCTCTGCCCCTGCGTTCCTGTGCACTGTTAGTGTCATTGTACTGACTTCTAGAACGTTTGTCATTTAGAGACCGGCTCCACTTTTTTTTCTGTGTGTTTTTTGCTGGTGGATCCGACCCCACAAGGTAGCAGTGGCATTAATCACATGAATAAAGCTTGCTGCGTGCGCAAATGCAGCAAGCTTAGGCTGTAAATTCTGTAAAGAACTAAAAGACTCTTCAAAGCCCTGTTTAGCTAAGGAGGCTGCAACGTGAGGGGAAAAAAAAAAAACAACTCCCTGAAAGGAGGACTGTCTTGTGTCGCAATCAGCGAGACCGAGCATCATCACAAGTTTTTCCTCCTATCACTTACTCCTTTCATGCTCCAGCACCTTGTCCCTCCAGCACAGTACCTCTTTTGTCCCATTTATCACGCAGAAATGCTTCAGAGGCCTCTGGAGCCTCAGGTCAGCCACAGCTTTGCCCAGCTGGGAGGCAGAAAATGTGCCCCCACACCCCACGTGCCAGAGACGTTTCCCAAGGCCTGATGCAAACCCCCAGGCAGATGCTGGCTGCTGCTGCCCCTCCTGCACCACACGGCGCTGCTAAGATGGGATTTGTTCACCCCTGGTGTTTAATAAGAGTGGTTTGGGTGGGAAGGGCCCTTACAGCCCCCCACAGGCTGCCCAAAGCCCCCTCCAGGGATGGGGCACCCACAGCTTGAGCCACCTAACCTGTGGGTTAACCCAACCCAACCCAACCCGACCCAACCAAACTGAACCTGACCTAAAGCACCCGAACCTAACCCAGCCTAACCTGACCAAACTAATCCAAATCTAATCCAACCTTACACAACCCAACCTGACTTAACCCAACCCAAACTAACCAAACCCAATCTAACCTGACCTAACCCAACGGAACCAAACCCAATGCAAGCTAAGTGAACCTAACCGAATCCAACCCAACCTGATGTGACCAAACCCGACCTGACCTGACCTAACCCTACCTGACCCAACCAAACCTGACCTAACCCAACCCAACCCAACCAGACTTATCCCAACCTGATCTAGCCAAACCAACCAAACCTGACCAAACCGAATTTAACCCAACCTAACCCATCCTGACCTAACCAAACCCAACCCAACCCAGCCTGCCCCAACCCAACTGAACCTGATCTAGCTGAACCTAACCCAACCCAACAGGACCTAACCCAACCAACCAAACCTGACCTAATCTGACCTAACCGAACCTAACCCGACCTGACCTGACCAAACCCAACCTAACCCAACCAAACCTGACCTAAACAAACCCAACCCAACCTGCCCTAACCCAACAGGACCTAACCCAGAGGAACCCAACCTGACTTAACCCAACTCAACCTATCCTAACCCAACTGAACTGACCCAACAAAACCCATCCCTACAGAAATCAACCCAACAAAACCGAACCCTACAGAGCCCAACCCTACAGAACCCAACCCCACAGAGCCATACAAAACCTTAAAAAAAACTACAAAACCGTAAAAGAAAAAAAAAAAAACCTACAAAACCTTAAAAAAAACTACAAAACCGTAAAAAAAAAAAAAAAAACTACAAAACCTTAAAAAGGTTAAAAAAAAAAAACCTACAAAACCATAAAAAAAGTAAAAAAATAAAATAAAATAAAATAAACCTACAAAACCGAAAAAAGGTAAAAAAAAATTAAAAAAAATAAAAACTACAAAACCTTCAAAAAAACCCTACAAAACCGTAAAAAAGGTAAAAAAAAAAAAAAAAACAACCTACCAAACCCTACAAACCCCTCCCCTCCCTTCTCGCCCCCTCCCCGCTCTGCCCCCCCCCCTTCCCGGCCCCGCCCGCCGCACCCACAACACCACCACGTGGCCAGGCGCGTCCCTTCCCCACCCGCAGCCAATCGCCGCCCTTCCTCCCACCCCGGCGGGCGGGACCTCCCCGCTTCTCCCTTTTCCATTGGCCGAACCGCATGCCCATCCCCCGGCGGGGCGGGCCTTACGGGGAGCCGCCGGCCAATGGGAAGCGGCGGCGGCGCCGCCAGCACGGCGGGGCCGGGGCCGGGGCCGGGAGCGGGGCCGGGGCCGGGGCCGGGGCCGGGCCGCGGTCGCTGCATGGCGGAGCTGGGGCAGGGGCAGGGGCTGGGGCAGGGCGGGCCCGCGGCGCTCAGCTGCTGCTCCTACAACCAGGACCGCACGTAAGCGGCGGGGGGAGGCCGGGGGGTGACGGGCGAGGGGCAGCGGGGCCGCCACAGGAGGGGGCAGGAGGGCCCTGAGGGGGTCGGGGCCTGTCAGGGGGCCTGGGGGGGGTCCCGGGCCTCTGAGGGGGGGTGTGAGGGGGCCTGGGCCTGTGGAGGGTTCTTGGGGGGTCCCTCGTCTCCTGAGGGGTCCCATGAGGGGTCCAGGTCCTGTGAGGGGTCCCTTAAGGGGGCCTGTGAGGAGTCCTGGTCCAGTAAGGGGTCCCTTGAGGGGTCCAGGTCCCATGAGGGGTCCTGTGATGGGCCCCGGTCCTGTGAGTGGTCCTTTGAGGGGTTCTCGTCCTATGAAGGGTCCTTTGAGGGGTCCTGGTCCCGGTCCTGTGAGGGGTCCCATGAAGGGTCCTGATCCCATAAGGGGTCCTTTGAGGGGTCCCAATCCCAGTCCTGTGAGGAGTCCAGGTCCTTTGAGGGGTCCTGGTCCTATAAGGGGTCCAGGTCCTGTGAGGTGAGGGGCAATGAGGCCTGTGGAGGGCTTGTCGTGCCCTGCAGGTACCTGAGGGAACATATGGGGAACCAGGGATGGTCTCCTCTCACAGATAACCAGTGATAAGATGAGAGGGAACGGCCTCAAGTTGCGCCAGGGGAGGGTCAGGTTGGAATTAGGAGATGTTTCCACTCAGAAAGCGTGGTCAGGGGTTGTGCGGGGACGTGGCAGGGTCACCGGCCCTGGGGGTGTTCAAGGGAAGGTTGGATGTGGTGCTTGGGGACAAGGTTTGGTGGTGACTTTGGTGGTAGGGGGCATTTGGAGGGTTTTTCTAACCCTAGTAGTTCTATGATGCTGCACCCAGGTCTGCAGCCCTCAGCACAAGGAGGTTGCGGGGCTGCTGGAGCAGGCCCAGAGGAGGCCACAAGGATGGTCAAGGGGCTGGAGCACCTGTGCTGTGGAGAAAGGCTGAGAGCTGGGGGTGCTCAGCTACAGAAGAGAAGGGACCAGGGGACCTCACTGCAGCCCTTCAGTGCTTGAAGGGGGCTTATAAAAAAAAGATGGAGAGGGACTTTTTGTTCAGTCAGATGTTGACAGAACTAAGGGGAATGATTTTAAACTAAAAGAGGGGAGATTTGGATTGGAGGTTAGGAGGAAATTCTTCAGTCAGGGTGTTGAGGCCCTTGCACAGGCTGCCCAGAGAAGCTGTGGATGCCCCATCCCTGGAGGTGTTCTGTCCATCTCTCTGTCCATCCATCACCCCAGGATCACACAGCGGGTGATGTTGTGCTGGCCCACAGGGGTGCTTGCTTTCTGCAGGCTGCGGCAGCCACAGACAAAGCACAGTGCTGGGGTTTCCCACCTTATGTGCTTGAGGTTGAAGCTGGAGTTGTGCCTTGACAGATTGCTGGATCAGGAACTGCCCTGTCCCCTTATCTGCAGGAACTCAGGCCGTAACCTTGCCATCAGATCTCATCTCTGTCTTGTCTTTGCAGCTCTCTGGCAATTGGAACTACAACTGGATACAAGCTTTTCTCCTTAAGTTCTGTGGAGCACCTGGACCAGGTCCACGAAAGCAGTAAGTCTCCTCTTTCTGAGCTGTGGCTGACAGCTGTAGCTGTGTTACTGAACTTCGGCCTGCTTTGAGTGATTCTGTGTACAGCTGCTGCAGAGATGGCATCTGTCTCTGCTGTTCCCTTATCAGGAGAGGAGCAGCTCTGTTTACTGCCCGGTGCGTAGCAGCCTTTAGAGCGAGCTGCAGCCTCAGAGAAGCTTCTGAGTCACCCGCAGTACTTTCACAGAGCTGGAGGAGTCCCGCAAGCTTAGAATCCAGCTTCTTTCTCACTCCTTTGTCAGTCTGACAGCAGCAGCTTGTCCTGCAAGCCAGCGTTCAGAGCTAGATCACTGCTACATGTTTCAGACACGCCTGGGAAGCTACAGGCCACCAGTGCAGGTTCTGTGATATTTACCTTGAGATGGTTTTAGTGGGCTTCCAAGTGTAAGAAGGTCACTCACAGGCGGCTTAACAGCCAAAGACAGGTACAGCCTTCTGCAGCACAAACCCTGTAGTCTGGTTGAGGCCTTCACCAGGGTTGTTTCAGCAGAGATGCACTAAACAAAATCCAACTCACCCCCAGGAGATGCCTCCCTCCCCGCCAGCTGTAGTGGGAGCTTCTGCAGCCAGGCATAGCTGCCTCATCTGTGGCACAGTTCAGGCTCCTTTGCCTTACAGGGTAAGTGAGCTGCCATATGGCAGCAAGCCACAGCCATCTTTTAAAGTTGTTTAGGAGCGTGGATTCCCCTCAGAGGCAGATCCAGAGACGAAAGAGAAACAGATCCCTGCTGGTGCTGTGCTCAAGGTAATGGGCTGAGATGCAGGAATATCTTCAGAGCAGTCCTTGTACCTCCAGTGCAGGACAGCCCAAGCCCTGGGTACGGTTCAGGGCTGTCTAATTAGAAGGTAGAGTCCCTGATGACTCAGGTACAAGTCCAGCAGGGCCATTGTAACGGTGCCTTTTCAGGGTAAGAGGAGTCATCCCAAGCAGTCACTGCAAGGCATCCCACACCACTGTTCACCACAGCCATGCCAGAGCTCTGCAGAGAGCATGACCCTAGTGAGGAGGAGGGATTAAACATATCAGCTTTCCCCTGCCTTAAGGAGGCTGGGAGAAATCAGACACCACACAGAGTGGCCAGCAAGTTCCACGCAGCTTGTTCCTTACCTCAGTAAGCTCTGGCATGCTTGCTGCCTCCAGGAAGGTCCCTGACCAAGCTGACTCTCATTTCCTTTGGTAAAGGTGAGGGCTTCCTTTTTATATCCCGTTCCCAAGGATTGCCTGCAGCTGGAGAGCCCTGCCCAGGAGGGGCATAACAGCATTCTGCATCCAGGGCGGTTTCCTTAACCCCTTCCTCCTTTGATGCTTTGTGCCCTTTATGAGAAGTTTTTAACAAGAGCAGATGTTGAGCTTCTTAGCACAGAGCCTTCCAACCCTATTCCCTCCTGAGTCTCATTTGTCACAGCAAACCAGCCAACCATAAACCAAGCTAAAGGCTGCCTCGCTTTCCTTCTGTGCCCAGATGAAATCCCAGATGTTTACATCGTGGAGCGTCTGTTCTCCAGCAGCCTTGTGGTCGTGGTCAGTCATGCCAAGCCACAGCAAATGAATGTCTACCACTTCAAGAAAGGGACGGAGATCTGCAACTACAGCTATTCCAGTAACATACTGTCCATCCGGCTGAACCGTCAGGTAAGAGGCTGGGGAATTGGGCTGCCCAGAGCTCTCCCAGTTTGGCTCTCTGCTGGTGCTGACTGTGCACGGAGCAGAGGCCAGCTGGGACCCTGCTGCCTGGCTCTGTTTGCACTCTGAACAGGGCTTTGAGGGGTAGGTAGGTACACGTTCTCCTCTGCCAGCTCCACCTCAGGCCTTGTAACCTCTGAGAGAGGAGGAGGAGGGCTGTGGATGTCACCTGCCATAACTGCTTGAGTAAAATAATGCTAGGGCCCTTGTTTTCTTTGCAGTTACACAAAGGGTTCTTGTTGTTTGTCTCCTTGCCTATTCAGCACACAGTTCTGCCCCAAAAAAAACACCTTTTCATCTTCCTCCCTCCCTTGGATTCCATTTCCTGACTTCAGGACCACCTCTGCCATCTTTGTTGCAAATGAAACTGTCAGAGTTGGTAACAAAATCCAAGAGTATCTTAACCCCATCGATGAGGCAAAAAAGCTGCTCAAGTACTGCTAGCTGCTGGGTTTTATTTTTACAGGTATAGGAAACATTCTGGTCACTGGGAAGAAGGCTTTTAGATTGTTCTCTGAACTGACACAGCCTCACACAGTCCTGAGCCCTATTTGTAGGATTTAAAGTCTCTTTTTTTTTTCCATAATTATTTTCAAAGTATATGCCAAAAGAAGCCGAGGACATTTTACAATGAAGAAATGAGCAGTCTGGGTAATTGTATATAATCAGCCTCTCCTCAGTTAGCAACAGTGGGTCCTGCAGTAAAGCTCTCCCGTAAGGAAACTCTGGGTTGAGTTTCCAGTAAAGCTGTGTTTGACGAGAAGTTCCTGTACTTCAATTAAATATGTCCTAAATTGATTTTTTTCACTTAAACGTACAATGGAGCTGGCAGAACGAGGACTTCCGCTGAATTGCAGATAGATGTATATGTATAAAAATAAAGTGGGAGGTTCTGCTTAGCAGTTCTAGGAAATCTGGGAGGAAAAGAAGTCTGGGATTTTTCCCATGTGCTGTTCCAGTGACTGAGGATGATGTGTAGGCAGCCTGGCTCCTTGGCTGCGTTACGAGCTTGGGTTCAAATCCCAGGCTGAGCTCACCCACCAACCATAGAACAAGCAAACCTGAAGAGATTTGAAGATACTACGGATAGCTGGGCAGGCAGAAGATAAATCACTGAGCTTTGATGAGCTAGAAGCCAAGGGCACTGTCCCCAGAGGAGAGATTTCTACCTGTGCAGCAGAGCTCAGGGTGTGAGCACGACCTTCCTCCTTGGTGGAGGCCCCTGCTCTCCGGCCTGGGCAGTGCTGTGATCACACCCGTTGTGATACCTGAATTTCAGAGCTAACTCGAGGTCTGCCTCCTGCTCTGACCTGGGAGCCCAGAGGAACACCATCCGAGTGCAGAGTAATAACTGTTTTGTGCAACTGTACAATTTCAATCTGTGTTCAATATTTAAGCTGGTGGCAGTCGGGTTCTGCTTGTGCTGTCATGTTTGAACACCTTCCTGGGGTTCAGTATGAAAGCCTTACTCTTCTAAAAGTCCATATAAGGCTGAGTCCCATACAAGCCATTAACACAGGAAGACAGTAACGAAGTAGGAACAGATCTCAAACAAATGGTAAATGTTTTGATTTGACCTCTCTGTGGAAAATCCTTGTTGTGCAAGCAAAATAGTCCCTCAGTTGTTGCTGATCCATGGGAATTCCTTGTTTCAGGCTCCACTGTAACTCGAGTTTGCATTAAACTAGATCACAATTTATCTCAAAGGGGGCGATAAGGCTGTGCTGTGGGATTGCTGAGAAGCTCTCCTGTAACCTCCCTGGATTTTCAGTTACTGTACCAAAACCCTCCTGAATTCTTTGGAGAGCTTTGATGTTTTTCCTGGCTGTGTCCATGCCCAGCATGTTTAAGTCCTCAACATACAGCTCAGCCGCTAACCTGAGCCCTGTCAAACTGGAGCACTACAGAGAAACGCAGGAAGCAGGGCCTCGAACACTGTGTAGCAATCGCAGCACCAAGCACTTTCTCTGAGGCTCTGTCTGTGTGCAGAGTGAGGATAAAAACCTTTCCTCACCTCGACAGCTCTTACACTGATGCCAGCCTGGGCTGCAGGGCTGCACAGAGGGCAGGAGGCAGAGAACCAGCCCTCTCCACTCCCAGTGAGCTTGCCCAGGCCTCTTTTGCCTTTTCACCTCCCACCCCTATCACTCAGCTCGTCCTTTTCATGGGTTTTGTCCCTGTTGGTGTCAGCCCCCCGTGCTGCAGCTCTGGCTGCTGTTGTTTAAAGTCTCCCTTCACCTGTGCAGCACTAGCAGCACGCCTTGCAGTTCTGGGAAAGCACAGGGTGGCTTTGCCGAAGTCAGCTGTATAAATATTGCTCTGACGGTCTCTGCAAGCTGATGGCTGTTACTGGAGAAAAGGCAAAGTCTTCCTGGAAATGCAAAATGGCTCTGACACAGCCCCAGATGCTGTGGTTAGCAGGAATAGAAGTGGGAAAGAGTTTGATCCGAGAGGAATGGTGGAGGAAAGCAAAGATTTTCTAATGTGGGTGTTTTCAAGTTAGTAACTGAACTCCACATTTAGCTACTAAATAAGTGGCCTCATTTCTAAAGAGGTGGAGGCTTCCTGTACATGGATTCGGATGCTTCATCTTCAGGAGCCTGGGCAGAGTCTGACCTTACATTTTTATTGGGATATTTTCAGGGCTTCTGGACACTTGGCACTAATACAGGTGGAGCTGTGCGCTCCCTGGGGTTAGACAGCACAACCCCTCGGCCAGATCCAGAGCCCGGTCCCAAAAAAGCCTCTGCAAAATGCTTCTGTAACACGTAGAGATCTGAGACACAAAGCTGAGTGATCACAGAAACGGTGGCCTCATGCTCAGGTTGCAACATTAGGCTTCCTTTTTCCTTTCTGCCTTTCCTGCCCATCGTTTGGCAGCTTCTCGCTTAGCAGCTGCCTCTTGGCTGAGGGGGTGGGTGTTCCTGATGAGTTCATTCCACAGAAGAGGTGCAAGCACATTAACAGAGAAATACCCTGCCCGTCTGCCAGGATGGTGTAAATACTAGATGGGAAGCAGTAACCCCTGTGACCGTCCCTGAACAAATTGTTCCCGCCCGGTTTTATACAATTCTACACAATTCTGGGCACACACAGCACAATCCTGCCTGCTGATGTCGACACGTTGGGTTTAGCAGAAATGGGAGGCCCGGTGCTTGGGTGCTTGCTCCCAAACTGGGAATAAGTCAGGGCAAGGGGCAGGCAAGCCCATCTGTAGGCATACTAACAAGCAGGAGTGGCAGCCTCTCTGCACTGTGGCCTGTATGACCAAAAAGTAAATTTCTATGGAAAAAAAAAAGTAATGGAAGTAATTTGCTATGAAAAAAAAACATAAGAGTTGGGGTAGAAATAGATGGTAACCAGGACCTAGGGTGTAACCCAGGCGTGTCCTCATGTTCTGGGGCCTGGAGATGTGGAGGATCAGCTCTTAAAAGGAACAGAAATCACCACGTTTTATCTGCTTTCTAATGCAAAAGCAGATGCAGGCAGCTCTCAGAAGCAGAGCTGTACAAAATCAAAGGCTGTCCAGTGAGAGGGGATGCAGAAGCAGAGGAGATCACATTTCTGTCGCATTTCAGTAAAATCCCTGCAGAGCTTTCCTGGCAGCAAAGATGAGGCTGTGAGAGCTGCGGGAGCAGCAGGTAGAGGCATTGTGCCTGCGCTGGTGAGGTTCTGTTCATGTCCCTTGTGTCCTTGCAGAGGCTGATTGTTTGCCTGGAGGAGTCAATTTACATCCACAACATTAAGGACATGAAGCTTTTGAAGACGATTATGGATACACCTCCCAATGCAACAGGTAAGCGCGGCAGAACTGCGTGAAAGGCAGAGCTGGGCTCTGCAGGAGCTTTGTTCAGCCCCGGTATTTGTGCTAGAATTAACCCAGCCTGCAGTCTGTGCACCCGCAGCAGCACAGCTAATTCAGCACTGAGGAGCCAGCAGTGTCTGGAGGCAGTCAGCTGGGCATGTGAGAGAGGGAAACTCTGCTCTGCCCTGAGCAAATGCTTCGAAGGAGAGCAGAAACGGTCAGCAGGGTTTGAGTGAGGTTCGGTCTCACCCCATCCTCCTGCAGGATGGCCACACAGCTTCCCGGAGAGCACCTTTGTTCCCTGTACAAGTGAAGCTGTAGGGCAGGCCAGGACTTCAAGCTTCCCTCCATGTACAGGACAACTTCAGATCCCCCTCTGGGGCTCGCTGCTCTTCCTGCAGCTCTGGGGCTCGCTGCCTTTCAGCATGCCCCGTGTCAGAGCCCCGCAGCGCTTTGCAGGAGCCACACTGTGCCTCGGAGCACCCAGGGAGTTCCCAGCAGCCTGGGCCGCCACCTGATGTTACTCCAAGCACACGGGAAACCCAAAGGGCAGGGCAGGGCAGGGCAGGTGGCAGCAGAACAGATCCTCCCTGTGCAGCGTGGGGTGAATCCGGCCTTCCTGCTGATGGGAGAGGAGCTATTTTTAGAGGCGAGCAGGGAAAGTTGGCTGCGTGCCGGCGGCGCGCGGTGCGATCCCGTCACCGGCTGCGGCATCGTCTCGGGGGCGGCTGCCTGTGAAGTTATCGATGCGCTCACGCCTGGCTGCTTCTGGGCTTTCAAGGGATGCTGTTCCAGCTTCTCCCCTGACCTACTTCAGGTCTTAACAGATGGCCTCTTCATATGGATTAAACGTCCTCAGCGCCGCAAATATAATTACAGTTTAAAATCTTCCTGAGAAAGCCCCGCCATGGCAGGAGGGACGGGGATACCAGGCCTGGAGCTGTTTGCAGGCGGGCTGAACGGTCAGGTCCCAGTTTAAGAGCAGCAGCAATCAGCAGTTCCTGGGACAGGACGAGGCTGCTGCGGATCGCAGGACTTCATACGAGCTTAATTTTCTAAACCCCTTTTACCGCAGCAGCTGTCACCGAATGAGCTGAGTGACAAGTGCTGTGCCACGTGTGCTGCCTTTGTCCCCAAACATCTGCGCTGCTCCCAGGCCTGACCTCGTGCACAGTGTGTCCGGGAGGCTGAGGCGGCCCAGCCTTCTCTCTCCTTTGCCAAGCCCTTTCCGAGCAGGGATCCGGGGATTTTCTGCCCTCCCCTGGGGCAGTCGCTGTGAGATCTGCACCCGCCACTGCTCAGAACCCAGCTCCCGACCCTTCGCCGTCCTTCAGCTGCTTGGCAATGCAGGGCTGGGCCCGGGGATCTCACAGCACGCAGGGGCAGCCAGCGCTGCTGTCTCACAGCTCGGGGGGAAGTGTGGTGACCTCCGGCTCCCTCACACGCACAGGCTGGGAGAGGCGATGCTTCCTGCAGTGGTGATGTGCACGGACTTTCCAGGCTGACTGCACACGCTCTGGGCTGTCCCCTCGGTGAGGTCTGCCCAGCCTCCTCCACGCAGGAGAGAGAAGAGAGGAAAACGCCCGGGGAGGGCGAGTCTGGTGTTTTTCGTGTGTGCTCAAAGAAGGAGTGAATCTTTTTCCTGAGAGGAAACCACGCTGCTTAGTCGTGAGCTTCCAGCTCCAGGCAAGAAGCACCCGAGCGTGTCTGAGCCGCGCCGCAACCCCGTGGGAGTGAAGCAAAGTCCCCGGGGCAACGCAGCGCCCTGGGAGCGGGGCTGGCTGCTTGCCACCCTGAGCACACCGGCGTGGGAGCCTTTGCCATGCAGGAGAGCGCCGGTGGCTCCTGTCCCCAGCGAGTCCCAGCCTGATTTGCTCCAGGGAAGGCAGGAGAGCCCAAGGGAGCGCCGTGGCTGCGAGGTGACTCATGGCAGAGGCAGGATTTGTGCTGAGGAGGTCACTGAGCTCCTGCTGACGTGCGTGCCACGAGGGCTGAGAGCTGCAGCTTTGGGAACCACCTCGTGTGGATCCCCTCACCCCTCAGATCCCACTGGAGCTGCTGGCTGGGGAGCCAGGCCAGGCTTCCCTAGTGCAGCAGCCTTTCTCCACGCTGCTCAGGGAAGCCACCTGTGAAGCAGCACTCCCAGGGGCGCTGCGCTGAGCAGTGCCAGGCTGTGCCCCCTTCCTGAGCCCCCCGCTGCGTGCACCAACCCTCACGGGGGCTGTCAGGTGCCGAGAGCAGAAGGGCATCTTCAAAGGCTGTCCGTGTCCCTTGTGATGCCGTTTTTCTGTGCGTCCCCGAGGTCAGCTCAGTACACTCCATCTGTGTTTTCCCCTGGCCTGGTTTCCCGTTTGCCTCTTCCAGACAGGCGCGGAGCAGAGGGAGAGGCTGACTCACGCCGGCCGGCTCAGAGCTCGCTTTGTTCAGCTGGAGCCTTCTCTTGATCCTCCGCTTAGAGCAAGAGCTGTGACAATCCCTGGGGCTGGGGAAAGACCCTCCTCAGATGCCCCCCTTGCTCTTCACAAGCAGTCTCTGGGCTGTCCTTGCTCTCCTGCCACCCCTCCCTGTGTGGGTGCCATCCACCTGCCTTTTAATTGCCAGCACTTTGCTGCTGCAGCTCCTCTCCTCCGGCGCGCACGGTCCCTGGCACGACGTAAACGCTTCTGATTGATGGGGAGTGGACCTCTGGGGCCCCTGGCTGATCCCGCAGCTCCTGGCTCCGCTGCTGCGGTCTCTTTGTTTAGTTAGAAACAACGACCTAAAACAAAAGCTTCAGCTGATCCTTCCCTGATGCTGGGCTGGGGCCAGGGCAGCGTCCTGACACGACGTGTGCGCGGCTGTGCGCCTCCCTGTGTGCGTCCTGTCCGGGGAGCGTGGCACGGAGCCTGGTGGGATCCCCAACAGCCTTTAACCCCACAGCTTCCTCTGCACGTGGGGCTACGTGGGACCCCGGGCAGCAGCCAGGAAGCTCAGGGTTGTGCCGAACCCCTGAGTGGGTTCTAGGAGGGACGGGAGCACACGGCTGCGGTGCAGGAAGCAAGTGAGACCCGTTGCTGTGTGCGACAGGATCCGCTGGGATGGTCCTGAGCCAGCAGCAGAAAGCAGAGGCAGGAAGGGATGCTCTTTTCCTAGGTCACTCGGGGGGCAGGCGGATGGAGAGGCCGACGCACACATCCATCCATCCATCCACTTGTCTCCTGTAATTCCTGCTCTCTTGGAAGGGGATGTTTGGGAGACTTCTGCTCGTGTTGGCACACAAACAGACGGTCGTTACAGCATAGAATTCCCTCCATGGTTACAATTCAGCTAGGCTCAAGTTTCCTTGTTTGCCAGAACCTCCCTGCACAACCGTGGCATTTGCTGTGCCTTTCTCTGCTTCCCTTTTTCTCTGGGAGAAGGAAGTGGCACTGCCCAGCCCCACAGCTGCTGCACAGGCGTCCTTCTGGGGCTGTGTGCAGGCTGCACGGCTCACCCAAGCCTCCAGGTGTGTGCTCACACCCTGCTCACATCCATGGGTGTCCAAGTGAGCCTGGACAGGAGTCCTGCTAGCCCTGAGACCAGGATGTCCCTCCTTGTGTTTCGTGTTTCATGGCTCCTGCCTTCTCAAAGGAGATGATGAAGGGGGAGAAGCCCAGACCCTGCTACTGAGCAGGACCTGGGCTTTTTCCGAGCAGGATTTGGGGGAGGCCGTGGCAGGGGAGCAGGGAGCCGTACTGGCCCACACCAGCAGGTGTCCCCACGGCTGAGGCATCGCCAGCGTGCAGCCGGCCCGCGCCTGGTACCGGCCACTGGCCCAAAATAAGGCAGCGCCTCGACCCCCGCGGTGTGCGTGGCCATGTCTTCGTTTTGTGTCCTCCAGCAACAAACAAGCTCAGCTGCACCCCTCTCGCCTTGCCAGGTCTGTGCGCTCTCTCGATCAACCACGCCAACTCCTACTTGGCTTATCCCGGCAGCGCGACCAGCGGAGAGATCGCACTTTACGACGGAAACACTTTGGTAAGTGCAGAGCTCGCCCGTGTGGATACCGGCAGGGCCTGGAAACAAACAGCACCACAGCAAAGCCAGCGGGGCCTTTGGGGAGGATGAACAAATGCACTCCGCCGAGCTAGGCTGCAAGGAACTCCTGGGGAGGCAGCCTCTGAGGTCAGAACATCCATTTCCCAGCTCTGGATGTGGAGGTAAACGTGCCCCCTGCCTCTGCAGCTGGGGGGCAGCTGCCAGGCTGACACGGACAAGGGTTCACGTGAGCTTTGGCAGCGTGCACAGAGGGAACGATGTGATTGGGGTGGCTCACGGAGGTTGGAGCTGCTGCATAGTGCAGGACCTGGGCAGCTGCTTTGCCCCGCTGCAGGCTGGAAAAGATCACAGCATCACAGAATTGAAGGGGTTGGATGCTGAACCCAAAGTCATGGGGAGGGCAGGGTGCCCGCAGCCCCTCAGGAAATCTCTCCCTGGCTAGTGTCACGATTAGCTGCAGTTTATGCCAGGGCTTTGGATTACATAAGGCTGCCACTCTGTATGTGCAGCAGGAGCTGAGGATCTGCAGCAGGGGAGGAGCAGAGCTCGCAGGGAAGGCGCACTGCTGCTGCGAGAGGTTCTAGCGAGGGCCTGGGCTCCCCGCAGGCATCCGAGTGGCGTCACTGCAGCAGCGTGTGCCGTACAGGCACGGTGTGCACAGAGACCTGCCAGGCTGCAGCGAGGGCACAGCCACGAGCCTGCAGCCTGCTCGGGTGCACCTGAAAGGAGCTCTTTGTAATCCCAGCGCCTGCCGTGCGCAGGGAGGGAGCTCAAGGTGGGGCAGAGATAACAAATGTTGAGGCTGCTGAAGGGATCCCAGAAGCATGATACGGTCCCGTGAATACACACAGGTGGTGCTGGACAGGGAACACCCTGCCCTTACGCAGGCCGAGGAGCAGCGTGTCTCTCTGCACTCACATTCCCTCCTGTCCTACAGAAAACAGCCTGCACAATTCCTGCCCATGACGGCCCTCTGGCTGCCCTGACCTTCAACTCCACCGGCTCGAAGCTGGCAAGCGCTTCCGAAAAAGTGAGTGAGAGAGTGAGTGAGAGAGTGCTGCTGCATTAACCTCGTGGCCACAGCCAGCCCGCAGCTGGCAGAGGGCTCGCAGCCAGCCCTCGCACTTCGTCTGCCTGCTGCAGGGAGAGCAGGGCCTCGGGGCAGCCCCTTCCTAAAGGCAGCTCACAGGGGAGGGGCAATAAAGGGATAATAAAGGGATTCCCACTTGTAAGAGGCCGCTGCGTTGTGTTCATGTTGACCCGGGCTGGCAAACAAGGCCTTCGTGTGTACGGAGTTTCCTGGGTGTGTCAGGGAAGGGGCTCGCGCTCTTTGCCCTGCTCCTGTGTGATCTTTCCACTTGCATTTTTTGCAGGGCACAGTCATTCGTGTGTTTTCCATTCCTGGTGGGCAAAAGCTCTATGAATTCCGGCGAGGGATGAAAAGGTCAGTTCATTCTTCTGTCGGTGACAAGCTGACAGAGGGCTCCCGGAGCAGAAATGTAAACACAGGGGCAGGGCAACGTCAGATCCTGGCGGCTCTGGCATCTTTTGCAGAAAGAAAACAAGGGCGAGCGTATCAGATAGAAATGTCATTGTGCCAGGAGGCCACGCTGCGCCCAACTGCCGCTGGCGGTGCAGTGATTCAATTCATTGTGCCACGGAACGGGACAATTTCAGGGAACAGAGGTAGATTCAGCCCATTTACTCCATCCTTCTGTTGCTCCTTACTTGAAATAATGAAGTCTCCCCAGTTATCCTGGCTCTTGTCTTCTCAAAGGAGGTGTTGTGAAGCTACAAAGTCATTTGCGCAGAGCCCAAGTCTTGATGGCAGCGATGGGCTGTTGCTGCCCTTCTGTAGTCCCTGTTAAATGCTTCAGGAGATCCTTTCCTGATCTTCCTCTCTCCCCTATCCCTGACCTGTGATTTTACACGCCTGCAAGTACACGGCCTGACATGCCTGACATACCCTGGCCCTGCTGCGCCTGCACAGAAGAGATGCCACCTGCACCTGGGCCATCCAGCTCCTTGGATGTCCTCCCTGGCCTTTGCAGTTCCAAAAGCTTCAGTTGCTGTGGCGAGGCAGCCTCAGCAGCAGCCAGGCAGGGGGCTTCTCCCTCTATATGGGTCTCCCTCCTCCCTGTCCTCTTCTTTGAACAAAACCCAGCAGGTCCCATTCGGTAACGTGCCAAGAAGTGACCAGCCCATGTCTCCTTGGCCCTAGGTACGTGAACATCAGCTCCCTGGTATTCAGCATGGATTCCCAGTTCCTGTGTGCTTCCAGCAACACGGAGACGGTGCACATCTTTAAACTGGAGCATCTCACTGACAGGTGAGGGGGATAACCTGGGCTCACCCGCCTGCCCCAGGGCTGTTTGTGCTTCAGGCACCTGCCTTTACGCAGCTGGCCTCCGTTTCCTCGCCACATACTCTCCACCAGCTGTAAACTGTCTCGTTGGCTTTGTGTCCTGATGGACTCACTCCTTGGAAAGCCACACACCGTGTCCCTGCTGTTAACTTCCCAAGGCCTATTCTGTGTTTATGAGCTGCCACTGTCCCCTGCCTCCTTCCCTGTCTCCAGCCTTCCCCTGGCAGCAAGGTGCTGCTCGTGCTGGAGCTGCCAGAGCAAACCCAAGCTCTCCGCTGTGCTGGGGCTCTCCACGAGCTGCCAGAAGGGTCCCACCAGAGGCATGAGAGCCCTTGAGGCTCACCCACAGGAAGGGATTCTGCTGCTGCAGGAGATAAAGGGGAATTTTGATACCAGATCATTCGGTCTGTTAATGTGCTACTATGAGTCTGCCCTGGCAGGGCAAGGGGGTGCTCTGCAGGCTTCTAAGGCTGTGGTGGGCACCAGGAACAGAAAGTGCAGCACAGGGATCAGCTCCGTGTTGTTTTCCTTGGTGCAAACACATCAACCCTTCTTGGTAGACAGAGAAGGGCTTCTGTAAGGGTGCCCAGGGGCACAGCTGCTCCAAAGAAAGCCTTCCACATAAGTGAGATCAGGATGATTTTCATCGTTCCTAATCTGTTCTGGCACGGATGGCCGTGGTAGCCCTACTGATGCTGCTTTGTGACCCCACAGCCGGCCAGAAGAGCCTCCAACCTGGAGCGGGTACATGGGGAAGATGTTCCAGGCTGCTACCAACTACCTCCCTGCCCAGGTATCAGGCATGATAAACCAGGACCGAGCTTTCGCCACTGTACGCCTCAACACCTCCGGGCAGAGGAACGTCTGCGCCCTCTCCACGTACGTATTGACACCCGTGGCCCCTCTGCCACGCCAGCCTTTGAGCAGACACAGCTATCTGTGGGGAACACCACCCTGTGGCCCGTTATCTGGCATCCGTGCCTGCTGCAGAGCACGCAGCGTGTGTTTGCTGCTTCCGTGCGTGCGTGCAGCCATCGCGTGTGGGCTCACGCTGCTTTTCGTGTTAGGATTCAGAAGCTGCCTCGGCTGCTGGTGACCACCTCAGATGGACATCTCTACATCTACAACCTGGACCCACAAGATGGAGGAGAGTGCGTCTTAATTAAGAAACACAGGTACAGTGTGCTGGAGTTCCCTACCCGATTGATCCAGAGGCTGATTTTGGAAAATTAAGAAAGGGAATTTCACCTGAAAGCACAAAAGCAGAGCTGTAGGAGCAAGAACTTTAGAACTGACTCGTGATTTTAGTTGCTTGAGCTGACAGACATCAGAGAGGACCGTGTCAGCAGGCAGGGACCTGGGGCATCTTGCAGAAGAAACCAGAGACATCCCAAATCCCTCGGCAGCTGTGGGACATCTCAGCCTAGACGGCAGAGCTGGACAGGCTGTGCCTCAGGAGATGTCTCCAGCAGCAGAGCACTGACCACCGGGGGGGCAGGAGAGCAGAGCACCTTCTCCAGGCAGGAGTGGGTGCTGGAGAGCCGGTTTTGGGGGTGTGATGGCGTGGAGAGGCACTGGGAGCTTCCGTCAACAAAAACTCACACACACGCATGCCTGCAGGCTCGCGGTGCCAAAGCAGAGCCTGCCGTGCTGCCGTTCCGTGTGCGCGCCAATAAAATGAAGCGCAGAGCCCCACATCTGGGCTCCTTGGCTCCAGATGTGAAGCCTTTGGGGTGGGGTGCGATGTAACATGTTCTCTCAGCCGGGATGTGGCTGCCGGCCAGGAAAATGCCAGCAGATTTTTTTATTTTTTTTTTAAAAAGCCACAAAACAAAGGCACTTGAAAGCTGCGCTGTCCAGCGTGCTCCGGCCGCCGGCCTCCTGCCTCCGTCAGACCCCGCTGCCGCCCCCGTGCTCCTGTTGTGAAGCAGCCGTCCGGAGCTGGCAGGCCAGCGTCCTGTGTGGGTTCCTCTTTTAGCATCAGAGGACTGAAAAGGGCCCTTGGGTCATGAGTTACATTACATCACACTATATCTCTGCTCAAACTCCATCCCAAACTAGCCAGCGCTGCTTTTCTCATCTAGTCCACTCCTGTTGGAAGCCCTTCGGAGCCCCCTCCGTGATTAGAAACACTGTTTGCCTTTGTAACCTAAAGCTTTTGTGGTCAGTCTGTTCCCTTCTATTCTCATGCCAGCATTGTCCTCCAGCCGAAGTAGTGCTTTCCCTATCTTCTGCTCCCCCCTGCTTTATTTGTGGAGCACAATGATCTCCTCTGCAGCGCTCTAAGGGCTGCAGGCAGAGCCTGGCTGCACTGGTACAGGCGGGTGAGGTGCTTCAGGGAGACGTGGATGCCCCGCTGTTGTATCAGCCGGTGCTGGGGGAGGAAGGACGGAATCAGCACTAACTCTTCTCCCCTCTTGCCCCTCTACAATCAGTCTGCTTGGCTCAGGAAAAACGGAGGAGAACAAAGAAAACGACCTTCAGCCTCCAGTACCTCAATCGTACGCAGCGACTGTAGCCAGACAAAGCACAGTGCCTTCAACTTCGACCATGCCAGGTGAGCATCGGCTGCCCTTCCCTGGGGCAAAGGAGCAAGAAAGCCCCTGGAGCAAAGTGGCAAGGTCCCAAACTTCCAAAGGTTCGTTGTAGCAAAACACCCCGTGACTGCAGGGCCCTCTGGAGCTCACCCAGTCCCTCCCCCGGGATGGTTCAGGCGTTCTCTGCTCTGCTTGCTGGGCCCCTTGTGCAGCGCTGCTCGCAAACAGGCCCCTGGCCGAGCAGAAACCACATCCGAGCTTTGGAGCTGGTCCGACAGCAGCCTGCCAGCTGCCAGACGGGTTTCCAGGAGTTGGAACCATGGCTCTGGAAGTCAGATCTCACTATTTTTTTTGTGTGTCAAGTTCACTACAGATTCTCCTGAACCTGTTACACTTCACAGAAACAGAGCTAGCACTGACCTGTTATTCTGTAGTGTTGAGTGCATACAGATGGGGATCCCATTTTGGAATTGGGGCTTACATTTGGGGTGGGAGGAAGCCAACTGCTGCCACAGGAGCTAGCCACGTAGTCCATTCCCTAACGGGTAGCGCTGACAGGGATACCTTTCTCCACAACCATCCCTCGGTGCTCTGCCAAATGCCACAGGAACCAGCTCTGGGTTAGATCAGTGATAAAACAACATCGCAGCTGTTTGTTTCCAGCCTCTGTGCATCCATTTATCAGCCACGTTCTGCGTTTTCACTTTGGCAGGTTATTCGGAGGACGGCGGCGCCCTGCGAGGAGAGGTCATCCCAGAGCATGAGTTTGCAACCGGACCAGTGTGTCTTGACGACGAGAATGAGTTTCCTCCTGTGAGCATTCGGGACCCCTAAAACAGCAATTCAGCCCTCATGCTAAGAAGAAAGTGTTAACCTCTTACAGAAGAGATACTGTTGCCCTGACCTTGTCCCAGTTCACTGTGAAGCCTAAAATAACTAATTAAGGTATAGGGACAGTGCCAGGAAAGTTACACCCCCCTAAATGGCAGTTAGGGATGGGGCAGAGATGATCAGTGTAATAATTAGAGAGGGAACCGAACAAAGTAGCAGAATGAAGTGCAGATCCAGAGCTGACCTTTGTGCCTTGCTCAGATTTTTAGTATTAGCAGGAGTAGTTTTAATCTGAACAATACCAGCATTTAGAAATAAAAATGTAGTATTCCCTGTTGCATTTCCAGTCAGTTGTATTAGTTTATGGGAAACAACTGGAACATACCTGAACCTCATCAGTCTCACCATTTCCGAGCTGACTGAAAAGGAGTCTCCTTTTCTGAGTACAAAGCTGAATAGCATTAACAGAGTTTTAAACCTTTTTTTGATTTTTAAGTAGCACTTTCTCAGTTACCATTGGAAGAACACACTGGCTTTATAAAATCTAACTTAAGCCTGGCAGTGTCTCTCCTGCTTCTCTTCCTATTATATAAGCATTTATTGTGTTAAACATTTAACTGTTAACTGGACAGATGTTGCTTACGGTACTGTAATCAGCAGTGTCTTCTTAATAACAATGCATTAATATAGCAGAATATTGTAATGGATTTCCAGTTGTAGACTTGGCAGAATTTTGAAACCTTTACTCCATTTTTACATATCCTGCTGCTGGAGTTGAGCCTGAAGAAGGAGGAAGCGAAAGCTTCATTGGGATCCCAGGATTTGTTCCATATGCTGAGGCTGACCTCTGTAAGGCACTTTCATATTAACTGATGCAAAGTGTTATTTATATAAAGGATGATTAGCTCACGGCTCCCTTTGAAACACTGCCTAGGAGCAGCTCTTCAAGTCACATAATCCTTAGGCCGATTCTCTTTTCTTACCTGTGACACAGCCTGTTACAAACCGAGAACAAGAGTTCTCTATTTCCCCTAAATGTCCCCTAAGAAGGACATTTAAAATGTCTCCCCTTCGGTCTGTTTGGCTGCAGAGCAGCTGCCAGCCCAGGCATCTGGAAGGAATGTTCCAAGGAGCAGCAGGGCCAGAGAGAAATCCTTTGCTTCCTTCTGATGAACCTGCTCTCCAACATGTGCTTGGGGGACACGCAAAGGCCAGCGAGCAGGAACCACGCTGCTCCTGAATGAGCCTGCCTGCTGGGACTGCGCTGTGCAAAACCAGCCCCAAACCCCCGCTGTACAGCAGCAGGCCCTTTATTAAATGGACTTTGATCTGGCAAAATCCTGTGCTGTAATTAACCCGGCAGAGCAACTTACATGTGTAACGGTAGGGAGGAGGTGGGGGGGGAGGGAAGGAGCTATCCACAGCTACTCCCTGGTGCGGTGGCTTCGTGGTTGGAGCTTCCAGCTCGTGTCTGCAGCTAGGACCTCAGGTTTTTCCCCTCCGCTGCTGACGGTAATGTGTTTTGCATCTGGCCTACTAGCTGGCTCCTGCTGGGTTAGTGCTTACGGAGGCTGGCTCGGGATGTTTTGATGCTCTGAATTTCACTGAACTCCGCTGTTTTCTCAGTGCTGCAATGTTCGGTCTCGGTGACTCGTTCAAGAGGGGTTTCAGGGATCGGTCACTTCTGCGAGGAGAAGGAGGGAGAGAAAACCTGACCTTATCCAACAAAAATGTTTTGACAGCGTTCTGTTTTGCAGAAACATGGGAAGGGTTTTGTTTGTTTTCCAGTGTGCAACAAAAAGACGTTTAAAAACCTCAAAACTTGTGACAAAATGGAATATTCACCCGCAGCCCACGCCACGAGCGTGGCTTTGAACTCAGACATAGTTTTGGAGAAGCGGCCGCACTTAGATCCAGCCATTCCGCTCCATTTTGAAACATTTTGCTCTCAAGTGCTGGTAAGCAAGACTCCAGAGGCTCAAACAAGAAATGCAGCTTCAGTCTAACGCACGATGTGGTGTGATTGCAGAAAACGGCCTCTTCATTAGCTGGAAGGAGGGACAGGTCAGAGAAGAGATGAGAAGCCCAAGGAGGGCTCACACAACCTGCCCTCACCAAGAATTAATGTGGCTATTGAAACTAATTATGGCAGCACTGCTGAAGAACCCTGTGGCAAGAGGTTAAACACGTTCAGTTCCGTCTCTTGCTCGCACTGATGGGATGGATTAAGTGCTTTCAGGTCCGCCAGTGGCTCTGGAGTAGCTGTTGAGCTTCTGCAGGAGGTGCCCAGGCATCACGGAGATGGACAGCGGGCTGAAGCCTGAGGGGAGAAGGAGGTGCTGTGCTGAGACTGGGAGGAGGCTGCACCATCGGACGGCTTCGTGGGAAGGGAAGAACAAGCCCAGCTCTGGCTGTGTATGGTTGTGATGGTCCCAGCCGTTTTCTCATCACCTGGCTAAGCAGTTGTCACTCCTCTATGGATTCATTGGTGTCATTGATGTTTCCAGTGGTGTTGGGAGTTGCTGGTGTGTGCTGGAGCCTGGCAGGGTGCTGCTCAGCCTTTCTGGAGGCACCGCAGGGTAGGGCTGTGAGGTTTGACAGAAGAAATCCTACAGGATTGAGCAAGAACGAAGCCAGATGGTGTGCGTGGAGCTGAAGAATCCATACCAGGGGATCTCCTAACACTGCTGGAATTCAGTAGGAAAGGGGATTTCTTTCGGCAGCTTGGTCAGTGCCTTTCCAGGCAGACGTGATCAGTCCTGTGTCTGGCTGCACTCTGAAGCTTGTCAGCTTCAGGACCGGAGCTGATGTGAAGGCTTTATCAGGACAGGCACTTCATTCCGTCGGGATGGGTTGTGGACAGCAGTCAGCTGTCAGCTCTTCATCCCCTCGCTGATGCTCAGTCTTTAAAAACATCCCCTTCACTCACAGCACATTGATTCTTGGCTGCCTCCAAAACTTGCGGGCAGCCCTGCTGCTAGCAGAAGGCGATAGATTCGGCTGTGGAACTGCAGGAATATTCAGTAATATTTCAAAGGGGGGCTGAGCAAGTCCGGCCAAACCTAAGTGGCCTCGTGTTCCTTACACAGCTCCTGCCCCCGTAGCTCAGACGGGCATTTGGGGCAGCTGGGGCTTGCAGGGTTAAGCCCAGCTTATCAATACAGCACCTGGGCTCCTCAGGCAATCCAGCACCAAGGCTTCGTGCCTCACAACCAGGCAAGTGATGTTCCTGCAGGCCATGGAGGGGATGAACGGTCACAGCCCCTCCGGCAGCCAGGTGTGGGGATGGCACCGGCACCCCTGGGGGCTTGCGGCCAGGCTGGCACCCAGCCGGGCAGAGCCGTGCCCTGGGGTCTGCGTGGGGGCACCCACCCGGGGGGCTCTGCCCGAGCTTCCAGAAGCAGGTGTGGATCTTCCCGGGGTCTCTGATCTCCTCTTGTGGCTGTGTTTGAATGAAGTGTCTCGGGGTCTTTGCTGCTCTCCATTTCCTCTCCGTGCTTTATCACCGAAACGCATTGCTAGTACTTCGGGTAGGCTTCCCCTCACCCCATTCAGCCCCAAATGTAGGTGTTTAGCTCTGGATTCCATCTGGAGGCCCCAAAGAGCCCCGTCCAGCTCCTTTCCCCTCCTGCCATGCCAGAAGGTGAGCTCTGGGAGCACCCAGTGGGGCAAATGAGGCTCATCCCAAGGAACCCAAGTCCTGCAAGTGTGGTGCGCACCGTGCCATGCCAGCTAGATGCAAGAGACCCTTATCGCCAGGCCAGATGGTTCCTGTTCCCAGGGCTGTAAATTTGGGGGGGGGGGGGGGGGAGTAAATAAATAAACCTCTCACAAATCTGCCTTGGAATGGAAAGTAAAACACTGCAGGACATCCCTCCCCCTTCTCCTCCCATGTGCGTAAAAGCGACTTGAAACACACCCTGTTGCTGGGAAAAGTAAGGCCATTCTGTTTTGATTTTGGTAGATAATCTTGTGCCGTGGAGGTCAGCCGGGCAGAGCGAAGAGGTCATGATGAGACGCAAACATCCGCGCGTAGGACAGCTGCTGGGAAGTGCTTTGGAAAAGCCAGGAATTTCGAAGAAGAGGTTTGCGTGTCCTCAAGAAAAGGAAAAAATACAAAAAAAAAATCCAAGGTGGGCCACTGCTTTTTACTCCAGTACGTGTGAGCGACTACCTGGCCCGCCCGGCCCGCCAGCCCCCTCTTTTTAATCATGTCTGGGCGGGTGTCAATGTACTGTCTGCACAGCGCTATATTTAACAGGTATCCTAGAACCACATTGTAAATGCTAATTTAATCAGATTTGTATGTCACCAGAATTTTATATACCCGTTTTTTCCCTTTTCTAATTTATGCCGTTTTATGTGTATAAATGTACTTACAGCGAGAGATATTGAACTTATGTCTTTGTACAGGATAAGCCTATTTTACCCAGGCAAAGTATTTTTGCAGTGATATTAGAGAAGATGCAATTTGCTCCGTTTAAAGACAGAAATAAAGTCACGGTCTGTCCCTGGCAGCTCGCTGCCCCTGCTCCTGCTGTTCTTTGTGGGGCCCTAAAGATGTCAGTCTTGATTAAGCTTCAGCGAGTGGGTTTGGGGCGCTGGTGGGAGGGAAAAGGCTCCGGCTGTGCCTGGCCCCAGCCTGGCCAAAGCCGCGCTGCCCTGCTGCTGGCGGCCGTGCCAGGACGGGAGGGCAGGAGGCTGCAGGCCAGGGCTAATTGCAGCCGGTTGGGCAGCCCCCTCTAATTTGGGCAGCGCTGCCCGTAATTACAACTCCCAGTTCCCTGCGGCTGGTGTAACACCTTGCTTCGATTGAGACAAGCCGCTTACGGCTTGTCCAAAGAAAGATCTTGGGTGCGTAAATTGGAGGCCAAAAGCGTTTCAGAAAACCCTCGCTCGGCTGCTGGGAAATCCTGGTGGTTTCTGAGTTTCAGCTGCGCCCTCTGTGTTGCCTCCACAACTCCCCAGGCCTGCGCCTGTGCCCACTCATGCCCCAAAAGAGCTGTTCCCACCCCCCAGCATTGCACAGGAGCTGTTTCTCTGCCTGGAGCCCTGCTCTGCTCAGTTTTAATGAAAAAAAACGACTTTTTCTCAGCCGCCGGGCCCTACCAAAAGCCTTTTTGCACGCAGAGCCACCAGGTACTGCAGTGAGCTGCTCCTCCAGCCGCAGGGGCATCCTGCAGCCGGGGGCACAGCCCTGCTCTGAGCAGAGCTGCACCCACGGGGACCCCTCTACCTGCTCCCCCTGACCCATGACTAAATCACCCCACGGCACGGAGCAAAGCAAGCTGCAGCCTCTGTCCCTGCCCTCTGGCCAACCTCAAGCCCGGAGCCAGTAGGAACAACAGTCAAATTCACCAAACCAGAATGGGAAAAGGAGCAGCTCGGGCAATTATTTGCTTAAAGACAAAGCCTCGTTGCTCTTCTCTCCGTGCCATGGTCCAGCGAGGCTGCGGGAGGTGCTTGGCATCGGCAAGCCACGTGCTGTGCGCTGCAGCACGGCACCGCCGCTGGATCTCGGGAGTAATCTGCAACCGAGACGTTGTCTGTGGCAATATCCTCCAGAGCCCGGGTGTAAGCCCAGCTGATTGCAGGTAGCACTGCCTGGTACTCTGCGGATGCCACATCCAAAGGCTCCTGTTCCTGGATATCGCGATCCAGGTTGAAAATGAGGGGTGGCTGGTGGTGCTCCTCTAGCCCAACGCTTCCGTCACAAGCCTTCGCCCCTCCTAGGGAGAAAAGCAAACACCACGGGAGTCCCAGGCTGCTCACCCCTGCCCCGGCACCACCTCTGGGCTCCTCACCAGTCTGTGGTGGCCCCTTCCCACTATGACCCAGCCCTGGCAGCCCAGGTCCCAGTGCCAGGCTGCGATGCTTCTGGAGCCAACCCCGCACTGCGCACACAGGTGGGCACCCACGCGCTCCTTGCTGGGTTTGCTCCTGCCTGCATGAACCCGCTTTGGTTTTTACCCGTACTGCAGGGAAACAGGAACCTCAGAAGCTTTTTTCCTGGCAGTATGATCTGTACCAGAGCCAGCCTACCTGTGGTGTAGAACGCCTTGTACTGAGCCAGCCGCAGCGCCTCGATCGCTCCGTCCTTCCCAGCTGCCCCGCTGTTGGGGTGAAGCAGAACCTGAAGGAAGAACAGAAGAAGCCCACTGCAGAGCAAACCTGCTCTGTTTGATACCTGCTCCCTCCCAGCACGGGTCCGTGCCCCACCCCTGCACACATTTAGGGACACTGCTCAGCCCAGCAGCAGCCCAGCAGAAGGGAACTGAGTGCCAGCACCTCGTGTTCCTCCAAGGTCACCTCCCCGGTGGCAGAAACATCTCAGGAATCAGAACTGATGGCCAGTGGCCAAGCCACGAGCTTGGGCTGAGCTCAGCTCCAGCAGGGCAGGGGCTGTGCTCGGAGGTGAGGTGCCGGAGCACCGTGCCCGCTGCGTCTCCGGCTGACCCACGCCGAGGGGGGAGCGCTCCCTGCCCTGACAGCAGCAGGGAGCCGGGGTGAGGAGAAGGGAATTGGGAAGGGCGGGTCGAGTCTCTGCAGCTCGGTATTTAGGACACTTGATCCGTGCAGGACGCCTGCCTTGGCACCGGGGAGGGAGAAGACAAGTGAGCTGGACGGTTCGGCGGTCTCCGTCAGATAATATCGCTGCAGAGCCAATGGCTCCGCTGAGTGATGAGTCACCAGAGGTTTCCTCCCTGGGAATTGCGTTTAAAAGTGATTCAAGAAATTTCCACTGTGCTAAAAACTAGAAACATCTGCCGGAGTTGTAGGCAGCTGCGGTGCCAAGTTTAGTAACAGTGTTCGCAGCTGATCAGTGCTGTAATGACTTAGCAGGTGTCCGGCACGGGAGTCCTGCCCCGGGCACCACCGCGGGCTCTGCTCGCCCTGGGAGCCTCGTGGCTGCCGCCCATCGCTCCCCCAAAACACCAGGATCTGGGGGGACCTCCAGGTGCTCCCGGCTTCCTCCATTGCCTTCAGTTGCAGGATTAAAAAAAGTAAATAATCACCATCTGGAATTTGGTTTAAAAAACGTATTTTACGGAAAAAAAATGAAAACTTGCATGTGGGAGGCTCGGGTGTGAGCTGGGAGAGGTCACAGCGTGAGCGTGCTGCGAGGAGGAAATGCGTGCTGCAGGTTATGCTGGCACCCGCAGCCGGAACCAAGCAGCTGCAAAGCAGCACTCAGTAATTATTTAAGGGCCCACGAAGCCAAAATAGCAGGAATTCAACCCATTTGTCTGCTTCCAGCCTCAGAGCTCGGCTGTGCCTGCACCCTTTAACCTGAGCAGCACGGATGCTGCTGCCCGGCTCCAGAGGCACGGAAACAACACGGGGCTCGTTCCTAAACGCGCCTCAAAAACCCCCACGCTAAGAAAATCCGTTCCCATTCACCGCAGAAATGAGGAGCTTGTTTCGATTGAGCCCTTTCAAGAAGCGTTCCCAGGTCCGCAACCCGTGACTTTGTTATTAAAGAACAAAAAAAAAATGAAAAGAAAAAAAAAAAAACCAACAACCCACCCTTCTCCTCAGCGAACCCTCCATCTGAACTCCCAGCTCCGGGCTGTTTTCGTAAGCCGGTGAGTGCGTGGGGAGGAGGCGCACACCCCTCTGACATTAAGCTCATGGAAAGAGCGTATTTGTCAGCCGCTCGTACCCTTGATGCGTTTCGTAGGATGTGTTTATTTTTACTGTAAATAGCCTTTGCTCAAAACAGGACCTTGGCCCCGGCCCAGCACCGTCACAGGTTGTGCCGGGGCCGGGACGTCAGCAAGGTTACGGGGCCGCAGCCTCGCGCCAGCCCCAAGGAGAAAAGCAGCTGTCAGCGGCGTGCGGCCGTCAGGCGGCGGGGCGAGAAAAGGAACCTCTCCGGCAGGATTTGTGTCAAGGAAAACCCGGCCACAGCCGAGGTGGTTTTGCCATCAGCCGCTCGCTGATGAAAGGCGCCGCGCGCCCGCTGCCGAGCGGGGAGGGAGCGGGGCCGAGCGCGGCGGCCGGAGCGCGGGGCGATGCTCGGCGTGCTGAGAGCCACCTCGTCACACACAGCATGGGGCTGGTGGTCCCCAGGGAATTGGGGACGGGTGGGGACAACCCAACGGTGACCTCAAGGGACACGGCGCCCAGTGAGCAGGTCACAACCACAAGGGTTCATTCGCTGCTGCTCGCACCCCATGGCAGCGAAAGTTCCCCCAAAAAGGCAGCAGCCGGGGACTCAGCCCCAGTTTTGGGAGTTGATTCCTCATCCCAAAGCATGTAGGATGGAACCTAAGCTCTCCCCAGCCCCGCACCACGTTCTGGTGCCAAAGCTGCCGAGCACCAGTCCCCCTTTCCAGCACCATGAGCACGCAAGAAGAGGGTTAATCATCCCAAAGAGCAGCTGGAGCGCACGCTGGCCGTGTCCCATCCTCTTCCCCAGTTTATCTCACGGTTCAGTGGAGGGTTCCGTAAATACGAACTAAATACCAAAACCCTGATGGACACGGGAAGCAGATCCAGGATCCCTGCTGGGAGCTGGCTTGCGGTGCTCGCAGGAGGGCGGACTTGAAAAGCGAAATCGGGCTGGATCTGTGGGACTGCTTTTAGAGCTGCTTTTTTTTGTTTTTTTGGTTCAGCAAAGATCTTGTGAAACTCTGAGAAAAACGCACCGCCATGCTCCTTGTTCTCCTAGCTGCGTTTTTCATGCTTAAAGGAGCTGTCAACAGCTCCTATTGTTGCAGGGGTGGGGAGCTGCAGGACACGGGGCTGGCTGCCCCACTCGAACATCAATAACGGGCACGTTTCCGAGCCAAGGAGCTCGGAGAAGAAGCGCTTAATTATGTCTCTATCTGTCAAGATAAATAAAGCAGATACAGCTAGGTCTGAGCCCTGGGGATCTTTTGTTTCCCACGCCTGTGCATCTCCTGTGACCAGGAAGGAGCAGAACCACGCTGCGCTCGGCGGGGCCGCCGGAGGTGCGGGCACGCAGCCAGCGGGGCCGGTGCTCCCACGGGGCTGTGTGCTCCGGCCCCGAGCCCTTCCGATCCCATCCCCTCTCTGCCCACCTCCCCTCCGGCTCCGAGGCAGCTCGGGAGGAGGCTGTCGGCAGAAAGGGGCCCTGCCTTACCTCGTGCCCCTCATCCGACTGCCCAAAGAGAACCGGGGACACATCCAAGCCGTCAAAACGCCGGTTTGGGGGAAGCGTCGCTCCAGCCAGGGCCACCAGCGTGGGGAAGATGTCCAGGGTGCTGGGGAAAGAGGCAGGTTTCAGCCGAGCACGGAGCCGAGCGCCCCAAGGAGCCCCCCAGCCCCCCCTGCACCCTGCAGCCCCCTGCCCAGGGGGGTCCCTGGCTGCTTCCCAACCATCCAGCGACACTGCGAGCACCTCGGGCACGGCACAGGGGGTTCCCCGAGTGCTGCCACTGCTGCACCCGCAGGTCCTGGGGCACGGTGGGCACTGGGCAGCCCCCACCCCGCTGTCCCCCCTGCACAGCGTGGCTGGGCACGCGGGGAAGGCACCGGGTCACCCCCCGGCAGAAAGTGCAAGCGCAGGGACTTTCGGCGCCAACCCCAACGGCTCCCGCAGCCCCAGGAAAATGTGGTCTCGCTTTTGCATCGCGCAGCACGAGCCATAGGAGCCAGAATGGAAAATGAGAGCGTTGCTATTTTGTGCGCTTCCACCAAAACGCCTGTCAGCAATTCCACCAGGATCCTCTCTTCTCAGGGGCCTCAGCCACAGAAGAGCCCTCGGGGCTGGGTCCCGGCTGCTCCCCGCGCGCAGGACGCAGGTGACCAAGGGTCCTGCCACCTCCAGCAGGCTTCTCGGGGACACAGAGGGCGAGAGCCTCACGTTGGTGCCTTCTGCCTGCGAGTTGTGGCCTGGGGCCAGACCCCAGAGGCAGCGATTCCCCACACTCCCTTCCCTGGAGGCTCGGGAAGGGCCAGGGGTCGAGCGGAGCCGTGCCCACTGCGTGGCACAAGTGTCACGTCCCTCCCTCTCCAACAAGTGACATCGCGGCACTGCCTGCTCCTGGCAGGTGGCTCGGATGGGGGGACACTCACACCCTGCACCCTGCCAAAAGCTCCGGGATCTCAGCACCCCCTGGTTCTGGCACCCCGGGGTGCAGCAGCGGCCACGCTGCGGGATCGGGGCCCCTCGCTGCTGCTGCCCGGTTGCGTGAGCAGAGAGAGAAAACAGCCCGGGACTTTAGGGCCCCTGTTTCTCCCATTCAATGAGTTTTAATTTAGCTGCTAAGAGACCGAGAGGACAAATAAGAACAAACAATGCTGAGGAGAGCTGAAAGGCAGCCCCGGCTACGCGGCTCTCATGGAGACGGCCCGAGCGGCCGGGAGGCGCCGAAAACCTCTGGCTCCCCGCTGGGAGCTGGGCGCATCCCTGCAGGAGCCGCTGAGCTCCCCACGGGGCTGCCCCACGGCACTGCCCGGGGCACATCCCGCAGGATCCAGCCCCAACACGGTGCCTCTGTACCCATTCTGGGCACAGGTACCCCAAAACAGCAGCTGGGCACCCCCGGAACCATCACAGCAAAGCAGAAAGGGGAAAGCTGGGGTGGTGTGAGACAGGTCCAAGGCTCCAAGCAGCAAACGGAGATGAAGCCACGTGTTTTCAGCTGCTCAGGGGCCCTTAGCAAGGGCTCAGCTCCGAGGGGTGCACAGGACGGGGCTAAAAATCAGCCCTGAAAGCCCCAGGCTGAGATTTGGGTCCCCCACCTGCAGCAGCCCCTGCCCTGCTGGCCCCGGGGCTCTGCACTTTCCTCCTTGGCCACCCCACTGACCTATTTCTTCAGCACCCAGCTTGGGCATGGCAGGAAGCTCGGGCAATTAAACGTAATTAAGAAGAGCCGATGAGGCAGCTCCATGCAGGGCGCGCCGAGCGGCTGCAGGTCCGTGCAGGCGCAGGGCAGGGCGCAGCACCCCCGGCCACGCTCACCCCACACAGGGGAGGTAACAAAGGGGGGGTAAACGAGGTGAGGCCGTGCACGGCCTGGCCACAAACCCATGGGGGGAAGGAGCTCAAGGAGGGCATGGGCAGGGACCCCAGGGACCCCTGTCCGCAGGCAGAGGCAGGGCGCAGACATGGCTGGGGGATTTTCCTCCTGGGGCAGGCTGCAAAACGTTGCCAGCGTTTTCATGACCTGGGGCAGAAGGACGTGGAGCAGGCAGGTAATGCCTGCCCCTGTGCCCTTCCCAGCAGAGGTTTCCCAGCCCCACTGCACGCCTTTAATGCTTTCTGCAGCTCTCAGCTCTCCCCGTCGGGGAGGTGAAGCTTCCCACCGCGTTATTTGGGCAGCAAGCAGCCGCCCCGTGCCCGGTGACACGGCACCGCCACCACCTCGCCCCGCGGCTGCTCGGGGACGTCAGCTCCTCTCCCTTCAACGTGCCAGCCTGCGGGCCCAAAGAGGGCTGAGAAAGCCTCCAACTCTTTTGGAGACCTTCAGGAACCGGGTCTTCACGGCTTGGGTAGGACGGGGAGGACATGAGGACACCGATGAACCAACCTGCCCGGCTCAGAAGCATTTCGGGTGGGAAACCCATCCTGTTGGTGCCCTCAGGACAACTCCACAGCCAGCACCAGGGGCTTGGGTGTCCCCCAGGACCCTCAAACACCAGGGACCGCACGGCCCCAGGCTGCTGCTGCCAGGCACTCCTGGGCTGGGGCCGTGCCAGCAGCGCCCAGCTGGCAGCCTCCTGCCTTTTGTTGCTCCGTGTCACACGCCTGAACTTTACGAAACCTCCTCGGGGTTTGTTGACTTTGAATTTCCGCGTCTGAGGCAGGCAGGCTCCAACCTCCCGTAGGCATTTCTGAATAAGCAAAGGCGTGCAGCTGGGCCAGCAGCTTTGGCAAGGCCGGGCTGTGTTTAGGGCTGTGTTTACCGGAGGAGCCCCGAGGTGGGACCGAGCCCAGCTGCAGGGACGTCAGCGCCGAGGTGACCGGCGGCCGCCTGGCACGGGGAGCGCACGCGGCTGGAAACCACCCGGCCCCGCAGCCAGGGCGCTTGGCAGGGCGGCCCCTGGGTCACAGCAGCCCAGGGATCACAGCTTTGCCTTCGAAATAGTGAGAAAAAGGAAAATGAGGAAACTCCTGGGGAGCTGCACGGCCCCTCCGTGAGCGCCTGGCACGCAGCAGGGCCGCGCTGCTGGCAGTGTTGTGACTTTACAGCTGCCCAACCTGCTGGGCTGGAAAGGCAGGAGATAAGGGCAAGGGAGATAACCGGGACCCCGCGGCTGCTGCGGTGCAGGGTGCACGGGGAGAGGGGGCTGGAGAGGGGACAGGGAACAGGGAAAGGGTTTGCAAATGAAACCCCAGGGGTGGCTGGTACCACGCACCTTGCTCCCTCGGCAACACATCAGTGCTCCAGCGCATGGTTTGAACATTGCCCTTGCCAAAATCCAGCTCCCAGAGCTCTGTTTGCTGCTGGAGGGGCCCCCGATGCCATCTCCACAGTGCCACCGTCCCCGGGTGCCGCAGCCCCGGGCCCTTCCCCTCGGCTCCCAGCCCAGCAGCAGCAGCCAGGGCAACCTCAGAGCCCGGCCGCATCCTGCTCTGCTCAGAAGCCGCCCCCCCGGCCAGCCGTCCCCACAGCCCTCCCCCACAGAAAGCCATTCGCAGCCCACAAAGCCGAAGCCTGCTCCTCGCTGGGTTCAGGGAACATCGGCAGCTTTTAATTACCGGGAGGCGCTCGGCCACCGCGGGGAAGAGGTGCACCGAGCCCAGCAGCTGCTAGCGCGGAGCCAGCGGCCCCACAAAAAGGGCTTCCAAGCCTTGGAGTTGTTTGGGACGGGACACAAGCGCGGCACCACAGCGCAGGTGATGCCCAAGCAGGGCACTGATGCTGCTGTTGCCACCCCAGCCATCCCCTTGGGGTTGGAGGTGTCACCTCCAGCGTGGCCTCGCGGGGATGGCAGGCGCACGCCGTGCCCACACGGGCAGTGGGGTGCAGGCAGAGGCCACCCCAAACCCAGAGCCAGCCCCTACCTCAGCACGGCGTGGCTGCTCCGTGCAGCAGGGACACGGCCAGGCCAATAAACCAGCGCTGGGACACGGTGGCCTCCTTCCCACGTCGTCTGCTTGGCCGGGCTCCCACCTGCAGGAGAAAGCGGCCGCGCTCAGCACCCGGCTGTGCAGGAGCTTTGCAGCAGGGGGAAAACCCCGAGCCCAGAGGTGCCCATGGAAAGGGACCGGCCGGGCCGTTAGGTGACCCTAACGGGGGAAGGTTTTGCTGGGTTTTGGAGCTGGGTCAGGGGTGGGAGAAGAATTTTGTAGGGTTTTTCACAAGAAACAAGGAGAGAGGGGAAAGGGGGCTCGGTTTGGCACTGCCTTTTGTTTCTCGCCTGCTCCAGCGAGTGATGAGAGAGGCAGCTGAACGCTAAAATCCACCAGGAGCTGAGCCCCCTCGGTGGCGTGGAGCGGGCAGGAGATGCAGGAATTTCACCCAGGGGCTCCCTCCTGGTGCAGAGGGTGCGGGGCTGCGAGCGGCACCAAGTGCACAGCGCCCTCGGGCAGATAAAGCTCCAGCAGCTGCCCCGGCTTCATTACAAATACATTCCTGCTGATAACAGGCAGCTCCCTCCTGCCGCCTGACTCACCTTAACCCTTCAGCTCGTTCCCTGCCACAGCCCAGAGGCCCCGCTCTGCACCGGGTTTGGGAAGGGGGAACGTGGGGAAGTCGCCCAGCCCCTGCCTGCACCCAGGTGCTGAGCACCCAGATGGGGGCTGAGGGTGGAAACGGGGGCTGAGCAACAAAACGGGGGGACAAAAGGCCCCAAGCAGCCAGGGGGGAAGGGACTGGGACTGGGGCAGAGGGAAACTCCTGGCCCCATTCACGGCACCAACTTCCCAAGCCCTTTGTCTGCCCGGCTTTCAGCGTGCACATGGCAACGGCGCGCACCCGGAGCCATTTCCTCCGGCAGAGCCAAGAGCGAGGGGATCCTCCCTGCTCCTCCTGGTCCTGCTCCTCCTGCACCACCAGCCCCAGCCCTGCTGGCTGCTCGGGGGCTGTTTTTTGGGATGCCCCGTGCACCCCGACCACAGCCGCACCCAGCACATCGCATGCAGCTGCGGCACGGCGCTCTCTGATGCCATCAGGAACGATCCCAGTTATAACATCAGCCTGCTGGTGCCTCTGCTCGGGTATTAAACATTCCTCGCAGCACCGCGTTGGCTTTTTGAGGGGTTTCTGCACAGCCCAGCACCCCGAGGGCAGGAGGAGCGGGGCTGTCTGTCCGTCTGTCCGCCCGTCCATCCATGGATGGAGCAGCCGGGGAGCCGAGGGAAGCCCAAGCTGCCTGTGCACGAGCTGACGGTGCCACTCCTGGTTGCATCGGGGCTGCAACGCCCCAAACCCAGGCAGGGATTTCTCTCAGGATGATGCAAGCCCGGGGAGGCCGCAGCTTTCCAGGAAAGAGCTGAGCTTTCCACGCAGGGACAAGAAGCGCTGCGTCCCTGCTCCCCGGCGGGGGCACAACGGGGCCGGAGCCTTCCAGACCCATCTCAAAACACCCCCAGCCGACCCCCCAAAACACGCCGTGTCCCTCTGATTCCTCTTTTCAGGGTGTTTGGGGCCAGGGGATGGGAGCTGGGCTTCCCAAAAGGGCCGGGGGCTCCTGGGGAGAGGAGGGGAAGCTCCCCCCTTGCAGCCCTCGCCTCGGAGCGGGGGGCCCAGCACGCGGGGCTGCTGCTCTCCATGGGCGCGGGCCGACTGCAGTGACCACCGAAATCGGTGGAAAACATTCCTGGAATTTGGGTTGGACCCTAAAAGGAAACGCCAAGCCATGCGAAACCTATATAATCCCGCGCAGCAGCACCTCCCCTTCCTCCCTGTCCCTGGGGAGCTGGGGAGGGGGAGATGCCCCTGGCCGGTACCCCCGAGCCCCCCGCGGGCACGGTGCTGGGGGGAACTTGGCAGTTCCCTGATCCCACAACAGCGGGGGGGGCTTGGAAGTCCCTGGGGTTTTAGAGGCAGCTCCTGGAGAGCCGGCAGCCCGGGAGGAGCTTTTTGGGGTTGTTTTCGCAGGGCTGCGTGTGGGCAGCGAGCTGCTGGAAAGGGGCCGTGCTGCTGGAGGTTTGTTCCCGACCATGTGCGCCAGGAGCTTGTGACCCTCGGTTGCTCAAGAGCAACCCAGGTCGGCGGCGGGGTTTGTTTACCCAGAAAACGAAGGTTTAGGATTCGGGATTCCTGCCCCAGCACCCCCACGGCACTGGGAAGGGGAAAGGGAGCAGGGGGGGGAGCTCCAGGGGGCAGCCCCACAGCCGAGCTCGCGTGGGATCAGCCTCGGCTTCCTCTGCCGGGTGGGTGTCAGGAGGAGAGGAGGGGAGCGGCGCTGTCCCCGTGTCCCCTTCCCCCTCGTGTCCCCCCCCCCTTGTGCTGACCCCGAGCCGTGCTTACGGCGCGTAACACAAGCAGAAGTGGGAAGCGCCTGACTCATGCATGCTTCTGGCCGCTCCGGCCGAAAGAAACCCACCGACCAGATGGCTTGGCCGGAAAAAGGAGGGGAAAAAAAAATATAATAATAATAAAAAAAAAAAAGTTGGAGAGAAAGAAAATAAAAAGTCCCGCTGGGCTGGGCTCAAGGGCCCCGGGCAGGGGCTGTGAGGGCATTGGGACCTGAGTAGATGCAGGGCAGGAGCTCACCTTCCCCATTGCCCATGGGCCCCCCCAGTGTCCCCCAGTGCTCCCCAGTGCCCCCAGCTCTCTCCAGGAGCCTGGTACCCCAGGAGCTGTTGCACCAAGGGACTGAAAGCAGCAGCTGCTCCCCCTGGGCTTGCAAAGGGGTAACAGGGACCTGGGGGGCTCCGATCCCACCCAGAGGTAATTTTAGGGGAAAATAGACTTTGCTGTGTCTATTTTAATGACAAGGAACATTTGGAGGAGCCTTCAAGGCAACCCAAGCCACGGCTGCCCCAAAGGCAGGGGCAGAGCAGCGCTCCCCACTGCGTGCCAAGGGGCAGAGGAGGGCTCCTGGCAGCAGCCCCCGTGCACCCCTGGGTTCAGGGAGTCCCCCCCCCCACTACTAAGGTCACCTCGTGTCCTCTGCCAGGCCCCCACCAAGGGCCCCAGCCATCCCGCCAGCTCACACTTCTGCGCCCAAGGGCCGTTGTCACCTGCAAGAGAAAGCAACGTCCCCGTGAGTGGGGACACCTCTGCTCTGGGGCATGAGCGAGGTCTCCACAGCCCCTTCCCATCCCCTTGGGGCTGCCCTACAACACCAAGAGCAGCACAGGACCCAGCCAGCAGAGTTGGTTTTGTCCCTAAAGGTTTATTTAGGGGCAGGGCTCGTTCCTGGGGGCTGCCCATGCCCCAGGTGAGCGGCTGGAGTGGGGCACGAGGCGGCTGCTGCCGGCTCCAGGCATTAACGAGCAGATCCTGTGCCAGGAGCAGGGCGTCCTCATTAGGGAGGCTGCCCAGCCTGAGCGGATTTGGGCTTCTTAACGAGCAAGGATTTGAGCTTTAATTAGGCAGGGCTGTGGCCGAGGTGGGTGGTGGGGTGAGCACCAGCTGAGCTGGGCTGGGAGCCGCATCCCCAGCGGTGGCAGCCCCGGTTCCTCCATCCCCCGGGCACGGAGCACCGAGGGCTGGGGAAAAACACCGGGACCATCCCCCTGAACAGCCAGGGTTGTCACAGAGCTGTCACCCCGCTGGCACGGGAGGTCCTGCTGCGTTACCTGTGAACCACAGCAGCGTGTCGGGGCCGGCGAGGCGCCGCAGCCGCCCCACCAAGGCGTCCATCTCGCGCAGGGCGGCTCCGTAGACGTCGCTGCCCGGCGGCACGCTCACCTCCAGCGGCACGTGCATGTGGGCCAGAGCCACGTAGAGGAAGAAGGGGCGCCCGCTGTCACTGCAGGGAACAGGGGAGCAAATTCAGGTTGGGGAGAGGGGAAGGGGAGGATGGGGAAGGGCAGGAGGTCACTGTGGTGGTGGCACTGCTGGGGACAGAGAGCTGTGACCCTTCCCAAACCAGATGGCTGCAAACCCACCCTGCCCCGCGGGATGCTTGGTCCCAAAATCCTCAAAGAAGTGTTGGAAGGAAAGCAGGATTGCTCCTGATTTTGGACAGGCAGGTGTAGGGGGCTGTGGTTTGTCCCCCACCAGGCAGGGCACGTCCCCGGGGGCCACCTTCGTGTGCCCGCACCTGCCCCGGCACCGCTGCTGGGAGGAAGCTCCAGGACGAACGTGCAGCTTCCCCCCGTGAGTCACTTCTTCCCCGCTCCTGCTGAAACCTCCCTGCCACTGCTTCCTTCCTTCCTTCCCCCACGGGTGCCAGGGCTGCCCTTCCCCGAGGCGCTCACGTTCGGGACGGGCTCGCCCCTTCCTCCGGTCCCCCCGCATCCCACAGGCTCCCAGCCGGGAGCAGAACGCCCTGCATCGACGCGCCCCTCGCATCCTTCTTCCTCCCCTCTCTCCCGGGGCCCGTTTTGGCATTTTGCTCCCCCGCTGGCACGCTGTGCTCATCCCCTGCTGCTCCGGGAAGTTATTTCAGAGGAGGACGAGCAGCACAAGGACGACCCCGATGCCGTAGCCCAGCCCTGGACAGGGAGCGAGGCACGTTCGCGGCAACGTCCCGCTCGCCGCGCGCTGCCCCGCTGCCTGTTTGCTTTTAAATCATCAGAGGACACGTCCTGTTTGCTTGTTTACGGCTATATTTATCTCCTCCGACGAGGCCGCTCTTCCTCAGGGACCTCGGAGGGGAAGGGTGGGATGGCGGGCGGCGGGGAGGGGCCGGATCCCGGGGACGTGCCTGCGTGGCTGCGCGCCCCAACCCGTGCCCGCGGCCGGGGGCAGCTTTTGGGGTCCCCCTGACCTTGTTTTCCTTCCTTTTCCTCGTTCACGTCACCTTTGTTGGGGCCACCACTCGGTGCGGGAACATCCCCTGCGTCCCCGTGACTTCTTATCAGCAGAAATGCCTGCACGAGGCCCGTGTTGGGGCAGTGCCCCTTGGTCCTGCCACCACCTGGGGCACGGCACCGCCCGGCTCGCGCCTGGAGCCCCAAAGAGCTGCGCAAACACGGGGAGCTCCTCCCGGCCTCTTCGAGGGGGTGGCGTGAGCTGGCTGGCACGCAGACCCGTGGAAAACAATCTGCAGGGCTCCGGAGAGCACTGCCCTTACCCTGGCACTCAGCTGGGAACCCCGTTTGCCTCTCGCATTCCTCTTTCAGCCCCTCTCCCTCCCGAAAACGGAGCAAACATTTAATCAATAACTTAAGACCGACGTCCTTGGCTTTTGCTCCCGTGTTTGCTGTGCTCGAAGTGTCCCGGGCAGAGCCAAATCTCACTGAATTGCTCAACCTTGACGCGGCTGGTTAAAAAAACACCGAGATGACAAATTCTGTGTTCTTTTCATTGCCCCATAACGAGTGAGTCAGGCAGAGGAAAACTGAAGCAAGCCATCAAAGAGAGGGAGAGGAAAGGCAGGCACCTGTTTAATCCTGTTCTCCATAAACTCAGATAACCCCAAAACAGCACCAGATTTATCCAGGGCGCTGACACAGCCCTTTCCTGGCAGTCCTCCCCCCATTTCTCCCATCCCTTTGCCCCCATTACAGCCCAGAGCCTTTTTTTTGCACCCCTGCACACGCAGCCCCCAGGTCGGGGCCGGGCAGCGGGCACCATCCCCGAGCCGGCCTCGTAGGGCGCTGCAGGAAGGCGTTTTGCAAAGTCACAGCTCCTAATCCTCAGCTAATAAGGGATCAGCATTACCAAACCCGTCAGCAGGGCTCGGGGGCTGTCGTCTCCCAGCAGCTGCTCTGCACCTTTGGGGATCTGCAAGCCTGGACTCCGCACGGCCCCGCACCACTGCAGGAGGTCACCCACAAAGCCCGGTGATCCCCAGGGGTCCCAGAACGAGCACAAAGCGCTTGCAGAGACCCAGAGGCTGGCACTGGGATGGGAACAGGGACAGGAACGGGGATGGGGACAGGGACAGTGTGTGGCACCCTCACCTTGCCCGCTGGACGAAGCGCGCCGCCGCCTCCGCGTAGCGCTCCGTCAGGCTGCTGAGGTTGACGGGCTGCTGGATGATGGTGAGGTTCTCGAAGAGAGGAAGGGCCACGTCCCTGTAGCACTCCTTGTCACCGGGGCTGTGGGAAGAAGGCGCCCCGTGCCGCTCGCACCGCAGAGGGGACCAGCAGCACAGGGTGCTCGCTGCCCCTCACCCCACATTTTGCCTCCCCGGGGCATTTCCAGGGAGCACATGCAGGGCAGCAAGGAGCAGGGTGAGGGGTTGGGGCTGCAAATCCCAAATCCCACCTCGTGGTGCCGTGCCCAGAGCCGTACCTGGTGGTGGCGGCGCCGTGCCGCGGGCAGGGCGGGCAGGGCGGCACGTTGTAGCCAGGGGTGTCCGTGCAGCCCATGTCGTTGCTGTAGGGGATCCCAAAATAATAGTCGAAGCCTGCGGGGCAAAGAGGGGGTCAGCGGGAGCCTGGCGAACGCGGGGCGCTCGGCTCCGCTGCGTCCTTACCGCGGGACGTGGGGTGGTGGCGGCCGTGGTGCCCCAGGTGCCATTTGCCTGCAAAATAAAATAAAAAAAAAATCATCTCAGAGGTTAACTCGGCTCCGGGCGCTGCCGTCACAAGCGACTGCCCGCAAGGCGCAGCGCAGGAGGTTTTAATCTAGCAGCAAGAAAGGCCACTTGTTTGTGCTGGCCCCATTTCCAGCATGCCTTTTTTGCAGAAAGCCAGAAAAAATGCCGAAGGTATCTCGTGTCCGTGCAGACCGGCCGTCTCCAGCCTTAAAAGGCTCTTTGGGGCCTCCACGTTCGGAGGAGACAACTTCCTAGCCTAGGCCAAAGATCCAGCTTCATCCTCGGGTCCTCCACGTCCCGAGGCTTGCTCACACCGAGCACGATGATAGGAGAGGGGGAACAGCAAAAACGGAGCGGGAGAAGGGAAAGGAAGGGCTTCTGTGCCAGGTGCAGCCCCAACACGTGCGATCAGGGGGGAGCAAAGGGCTTGGTGCTGGGGGTGCACTTGCACACGGGGTGGAGCGTGCTGTAGGGGCAGGAAGGGGCCCAGCAGCACCAAAAGTCCCGTCCCAGTGCTGCCAGGGGACGCTGTGTCCCACCCAGCATCACACCCAGCATCACGCCCAGCATCACACCCAGCATCACACCCAGCATCACACCCCGCGGGGCGTGCGCGGGCAGAGCCGCTCGGCGCCCTCACGTTTCCTACGAAAAATTCAGCATTTCCAGGGTAGGGTTAAGCAAGCGCGGCTTCGACTGGAAACTGGGGCAAGGCCCAAATTTCAGGCTGCGTCTTACGCTTGAATACGAAATCTGGGGATTGCAGGGAGGAGAGGGGGAAGCGCAGAATCCGTCCCGCTCATCCTTTAGGCTTTCTTTTTGCTGCCAGCTACCCACTGCGCCTCCTCCGTGGGGGACACCTTCATCCTGGGCACCTTCATCCCGGACACGGGCACCTTCACCCTGGCCAGTGCCACCTCCAGCCTTACCTATCGCCCCCGTGCTGTACCCTGCTGCCTGCAGCACCTCTGCCAGCGTGGTCTCGTTGAGGGGCAGGCCGCCCAGCGAGGTGATGGCGAAGTTGTGGGTCACCCCGTTGCGCGCCCCGAGGCGCCCCGTGAGCAGCGAGGCGCGGGATGGGGAGCAGGTGGAGGCGGCCGAGTGGAAATCCACGAACCTGGAGAAGGAACAGAGCCCGGGATGGCGAGATCTGCACGGGGTGGTGCTGCCCTGTGCCTCCCCTGTGCAGGGATCTACTGCGCAGGGTGCCAGGCTCTCCAAAACCACATCACCGAACCCCTGCTGGGAGCGAAACCCTCTTTTGCAGCAGGGCAGAGCACCCAAGGATGCTCGTTTCGGGCCAGGGAGGGGGCCCAGCCATTACCTGGTCCCTTGGGCAGCCAGCTCATCCAAATTCGGCGTCTCCTTCGTCTGGGCCCAGTTGGCCCCGAGGTCCCCCCAGCCCAGATCATCCGCCAGGATGACCATAAAGCTGGGCCGCCCCTGCGCCGCGGGGGGAGCACGGAGCAGCACGGCCAGCAGCAGCACGGCCAACAGGGACGGGGTCCCCATGGTGCCACCCGGCGTGATGTGACCCCGCTCGCTGCTGTCCCTTGCCCTGATTCCGATGTCCCCTCTCCAGGCGCTCCTCCTTTGCCAGGCTGCTGCTTCGCTGCCTCGCCTACAGGGCCGGCCGAAACGCCTGCTCCATCTCGCCTGCAGGCACAGCTGATATTCCTAAAGCCAGCGCTGGCAGGAGGTGTCGTTCTTCGAAGTCAGGCAGTCTCTTTGAAGTCACTGCTGCCCTATTTTTAGCTTGCTTTGCTTCCCGGTAAATATCTAATTAAGCGCAAAACCAAATTGTGAGTTTTCCTTCCAGAAGCGCGCTCGGTTTGTGCAGCAGCTCCTGTCGGGGCGACGTTTGTGTCTGATGAGCGGCTCCTTCTCTGCAACGTTAACTCGTGGAGCTGGCAGCAGAACACGTCCTCGGCTCCCCGAACTGGACAAAGAACCGCCGTGGATGTCCCGATGACTGTCACACTGTCCTTGGCATCATCTGGGGGCCACCACCAGGAGATCGCCTGTGCCAAAGATACACGGAGCCGTCAGCACCTGCAGGAGCCCCCTGGACCTGGCCACAGGTGGTAAAGAGGCACCGAGAGCAAACACCCCAAAGTGACAGCAGAGATGTGGCCCTGAAAGCACAGAGCTCCGGCCAAAGCGAGGTGAAGCTGCTGAGGTTTGCCAAAACTATGCCGAGCCCTGCACGGGAGCAGGAACGCGCCCAGGGGACACGCAGCCAAGCAGGACAAGAGCCACAGAGATAAGCCAGGAGGGTGAGAAGGGAAGGGGATGGCCACAAACCAAAGGGTGACGTGACAGGAGGCAGGAGAGGGGACAGGATGAGCCCCACCTGTAGGTCAGGAGTTTTGTAGCTGGCAAAACTATTTATTTCTGGGTTTGCCATGCGCATCTTAAAAGCTGGGGGCTGTCAGCTCCGCAGCACAGCAGGGCAGGGGAAAACCCACCCTGGAGCTCTGCTTCAGCACACAAAGGGCTGGGGGACACGGTGATGGGGCAGGAGGACCAGGGGGGTCTCCAAGAGGTTCAGGGGGGCGAGGAACAGGCCTGAAGTTCGGCTGAGCTCCATGTAAGCATCCCGGCTGAGCTGTGCTGAGCCCGGCCGGCCAGCAGCCTCGTCAGGAAGCCACGCTGTGTAACTCAACCCTCTGGCACCTCCACCGGTGTCCAGCAGCTCCCCGAAGCGAGCCCCAGCAGCCCCGACCCCATCCTGTGCCGGGGCTGGCCTCAAACCATTCCCCTCCCCACCACCCCACAAAACCCCATCCTCGAGAGAAATCAAGCCCGTGCGCTCCCCGTGGAAAAGGCACGGGCAAGGTCACGTTTTGTTTTTATTTTTTTTAATGCAAATATGCAAAAAGGAACCCAGCTGCTCGGAGGCTGACACGAGGGCTCCTGGGCTGCTTCTGGCCGGGGCGATAGGGCGCAGCACCACCCGCCACCCCGCCGCCGCCCCGAGCATCCAGATAGCGAGAGGCAGCCCGGAGCTTGGCAGGGCTGGCTGTTTGCTTTGGGGAGGTAACGCCGGCGTGACAGGGCTAAGGAAAACAATCGGAGCCGCTCTCAAAGGACGCTCTCTTCTCTCTAATTTACACGGGAAGTCAGCCGGGGCCTCCATTGCTGCAGCAGCGTCAGGCGGAACCTCTCGATCTCCGCTCCTTGAAGCCATTTGGAAGGGGTGAGGGGGGAAGGCAGCAGGACGTGCCCGTGCCTCTCGCCCTGCTCTCCCTGCCCACACCGGGACAATCAGCAGCGGGTCCAAATTCCAGCAAGGAGCGATTTGCATCGCTCTCTGTGTGCCCGTGTGCAGGACCGGGACGTGCCCATGGCTGTGGGCACCCACACCGGCACCACCTGCAGGTGGGCAGCAGGGAATGGGGCCGCTGGGTCCCTGACCCCGTCCCCAACTTATTATGGGGCCACCCATCCCCACCAGAGCTCGCCCCACAGCACCACATCACCCGATGCTCAGCCAGAGCTCGCAAAGGGCAGGGTTTTTCTGAAAAAAAAAAAAAAACACCCAAGATGCCTCTGAAAAGATTCTCCCTGGCTGCCTACGGTGGGAACACGGCGCCTCGCTTCGTGCTAAGCAGTTGTCAGCAGGAAACGCCGCGCTCCGGCTGCAGCCCGATTAGCTCCTCATGCGTAATTACCCCCAGGAATTGAGGCCTCTTCCCCCGCCCCGATAACCCGCTCGGAGATCCCCCAGCACGGCGTGGGCTCCGGGGATGCACAGGCATCACACCGGGCACTGCGTAACCGGGAATAAGGACAAAACCCCCAGTGAAATCGTGGTTCTGCGAGGCCGACGATGCAGCTCGCGGAGAGCAGGGGGGGGACAGAGCAGAACCAGATGAACCAGTTGAGAAAAACCCCAAAGCCTCCGCAGCCTGCGCCGAGCAGAGGAGGAGGAATAGGAGACGGCACCTCGGGGGCTGGCGGGTCCGGGCAGGCGAGGGCAGCACCCTGCCCTGCCCGGGGATGCCACCGGCACCTCCTAACCCCGAGCGGCCGAGCTCCCTGCCCCGCACCGCACAGATCCCTCACCTCCTTATTACACATTAACCCGAGGTTTCCAAATCTGGGGGCCAGCGCCGGCGTTTTCACATTTTTCGCATTCTTGCACATTTTTGCTCCTGCCTGGCGAGCGGAGCAGCGGGAGAGCAGAATCTCAAAGCCCAGCCCTGCACCAGGACGGATGCCCGGCCACATTCCTGCCAGGGGGAAAAAAAAATCCCTTGTTTTGTTCCCAAAGTAATGAAACCCAGGGTTTATTTCTAATTTGAGCGCAGCAAAGGGCAGCAGGTGCTTTGTGAGCTTTCCATGTAGGGCAGAGGGTGCAGGGGATCCTGCCTCCTCGTTACCAGCACGTTTGGCAGCGAGGCCCCATTCCCGGTACCGCTGCTCCGAACCCGGGACTTTCTTCCAGGAAAAGGTTTTGGGGCTGGAACAGTTGACAGCCGTTCCCCTAGCAGAAGAAGCAGCGCTGACAACAACATCCTTCTGCAGATTGACTAGGATTTCTGCCAGGTCCCGAGACGGGGGGAATGTTTTTCACCCATCTCCCTGCTGGGGCTTTTCAGAGCAAACATTACACACGCGGGGCAGGGTTAGCAGCAGAAATGAACTCCGAGGCCCTGCGCTCCCTTCTCCTCGTGGCTCAGCTCCTGATTTATGCCCACGGCCGGGGCATTTGCTCTTTGCTGCTGTTTTGCAGAGCTGCACACGCTGCTCCTGTGGAGCTCAGAGCCCATCGAAGGGCAGGATCAGCCCAGGAATGGAGGGCGAATGATGGGGGAAAGCCCCCGTTGCTCCCTGGAGCCTCGCTGCGTCTTGGGGAGCACCAGGGAAAGGAATGGGAAGACGCAGCAGAGAGGGAGATGAAAAGGACTGGCAGGAAACACCGATAAATCGCCCTCGTGGTGGGGTTCTTTTCATGCCAAAGATATCTGCGTGCTGATTTCTCCTCCCGAGGCACGAACCTCTCCTGGTGGCCCAGAGCCACTGGCACCCTAAGAATTACGAGGTGGGGAAGGGGACGGAGGCTCGCTGGGGTCAGCGGGCGATGGACCGGCATTGCTGGCAGGAATTAATCGAAGTTCATTGCTTTGGCTAAGTTATCTGGCAGAATCAAGGGCTTATTTGCCCGATTTGTTCGAAGTTTGCAGAGTTTTGCTCCCGCTGCCCACTGAAGGCACCTGTATGGCCCCGCTGGCAATTCCCATTGTTAAAACCGAACCCAAAGCCCCAGCTCCACAGCCGGGTTGGGAACCCAAGGAACGTTTCACCTCGGGCAATCTCCCCAGGGCTAGGAGCCGGCATCGCCACATCCCCCGTTCCCCCAGCACCCGGCTCCTATTTTTTTTATTATTTTTTTTTTTACTGATCTGAAGGAAAATTCAGGGAAACCCTGCAGCACCATGGCTCGAGCCCCAGCCCCGCAGCTGCGTGCAGGCAGCCGCCACCGTGCCATGTCCCCGGTGTCCCGCTCCCTTCCTCCCCCAGGCACACTGGGGGGAGACCCCCCTATTCCCCCCACACCTCTCATACCACCCCTTAAACCCCCCACAACCCCCCATTTAACTCCCCACGACCCCCCTTAAATCCCCCCAAGCCCAACACAACCCCCTCTTAAACCCTCTACAACCCCCCTAAACCCCCTATAACCCCCATAACCCCACCCTTTAACCCCCACGACCCCCCAAAACCCACCACGACCCCCCCTTTAACCCCCGTTAACCCCCTCCAATGCCCCATAACCCCCTCCAAATCCCCCATCTCCCCCAAACCCCCCATTAACCCCTCTTTAAGCTCCCCAAACCTCCCATTAACACCCCATTAACCCCCCCAACCCCCCCATTAATCCTCCAAGCCCCCCAAAGCCCCCCTTAACGCCCCATAACCCCCCTTATCCACCCCAATCCCCCCACACCCTCCCATTACCCCCCTCCAAACCATTAACCCCCCCAAATCCCCCATATCGGCCCTATATCCCCCCACATCCCCCATTAACCCCCTCCAAACCCCCATAACACCCCCATAACCCCCTCCAAACCTCCCTAACCCCGCCATAACCCCACCAAAGCCCCCCATTAACCCCCTGCAAACCCCTATAACCCCCCATTAACATCCCATAACCCCTCTTATTCCCCCCAATCCCCCCATAACCCCCATTAACCCGCTCCAAACCCCCCATATCCCCCCAAAGCCCCCTTATAACCCCATAACCCCCCCAAATCTCCCATATCTCCCCCATATCCCCTCCAACCCCCCCTAGCCCCTCCATTAACCCCCTCCAAACCCCCTCTAACCCCCCATTAACCCCCCCAAACCCCATTAACCCCCTCCAAACCCCCCTATAACCCCCTCGTTAACCCCCCCCCAAACCCCCATTAACCCCCTCCAAACCCCCCATATCCCCCCATAAACCCCCCATTAACCCCTCCAAAACCCCATTAACCCCTTCCAACCCCCCCAACCTCCCCATTAACCCCCCCTTATCTCCCCCAACCCCCCTAAACCCCCCCATTAACCCTCCTACACCCCCCATAACCCCCCTTATCCCCCCAAAACCCCCATTAACCCCCCTCCAAACCCCCCATATCCCCCCATACCTCCCCATTAACCCCCTCCAAACCCTCCTAACCCCCTGTAACCCCCCCTTATTCCCCCCAACCCCCGTAAAACCCCCCATTAACCCTCCTACAACCCCCTATAATCCCCCTTAACCCCCCCATAACCCCCCTTATTCCCCCCAACCCCCATTAACCCCCCCTTATCCCCCCCCAAATCCCCCATTAACCCCCCCTTATCCCCCCCAAATCCCCCATTAACCCCCCCTTATCCCCCCCCAACCCCCATTAACCCCCCCACACCCCCCCCATCACCTCCCCCCTAACCCCTCCCCGTTCCGTTCCGTTCCGAGCCGCGCCGCAGCCGCGCCGGGCGCGCACATGGCGCTGCGGAGCCGCCGGCGGGGACCGGCTGCAGCCGGTCTATAAAGGGCCGGCCCCGAGCGGCCGCGGGCACCGGCAGCAGCCGCGGGGGCCCCGGGAGCAGCCGGCGGGCAGCGGGGCCGCCTCCTCGCCCAAGGTGGGGGGGGGGCTGCCGACCATGGGCCGCCCCTAGCCCCCCTGCACCCCGGTGAGTTTGGGTTTTTTTTTATTATTTTTTTTGCTATTTGGGGTGGGGGAGGGCTGGGTTAGAGGGTTGGTTTGTTATTTTTTTTTGCCATTCTTTTCTATTTTTGCATTTTTTTGGGGGGTATTTTGTGCCCCCCCCCCCCTCCCCTTCCCCTCTCCACTTTGCCTCCCCTCCCCTTTTCCGCATCCCTTTATTTTTAGCCGGCGGCCCCGGCGCCCGCCGAGGAGCCGGTGCGGCGGTGGCGATGCAGAAATCAGGGCTGAAATGTGCCCCAAGTGATACGGGGGGGCTTTATCCTCACCCCCCCTTTATCCCTATCCCCCTCCCACGGCTCACTTTAATCCCCCCCGATCCCGAAATGCCCATTATGCACGCCGAGACCTGGGATTATTTCGTTTTTTTTTTCCCTAAATAGCGGGGTTCCTCCTCACCTCGCCCCCACCCCCGGTGCTGTGACACCGGGAGCTCAGCCCCGACCCCGCACCCTTTTTTGGAGGGGGGGGGGGGGGCACGGACAAACTTCGAGCCCCACCGGTGGTCGTGGCCCCCTTTCCCAAGCCACGGGAAGGATGCTGGAGCCCACACCCCGCTCCATCCCTTGGCAGAACCCCCTTGGAGAGCCATGCACCAGCCCCAATCCACCTTGGGGCACCCCACAGGGGGGCAGCGGGGTGCTGGGTGCCCCCTACACCCCCCTGGGGGGGGCGCAAAGCCCTCGCCAGGTCCCCCCAAGGCCACTTGCTGTCACCCGTGGGTGCCGCAGCCGGGCGGGCGATGGGCGAGAAGTTCCCCCGTGGGATGGGGAAGCGCTGCCGGAGCCGTTTGGGGTGGAAAATGGAGGAGGGAAACGCCTGGCAGAGCAGGGAAGGGGGGTGGCAGCTTTTGGGGTGCAGCCCCCCGCCGTCCCCCAACCCGGCTGGGTGCTGCGCCCCACCATCGGGATGTCCCCATCCCCGTCACCGCAGGTGTCGCGGCGCGGCTGAGCCCGAGGGCTGCGTGGGGGAGCTGGGTGGCAGCGGGGGCGTCCCCGCTGCGGCCACGCAGACCCCCGGGAAGGTGAGGGCAGGCAGGGCTCGCAGCCCCGGAGCGGTGTTTTTTTGGGGGAAGGAGCACGCACCCGGGGAGCTGCTGGCTGCCCCGAGCACCGGCAGCCGCTCAAGGCAACGCGCTTTGGCTTGCAGCAGCGTGCCGGCTCGTGGCACCGAGCAGCCCCGCAGGAAAGTAGGCAGCACCCAAAGGTGCTGGTGGGTGTCCCCCTGGATGTCAGGGAGGCGGGAGGATCGGGGACGGGGAGCACCGTGGGAAGCCCGGGCGATCCGAGCCCTCTCCGGGTGCCGCGGTGGATCTTTCACGAACTGCATCCAGCCCCCTGCGCTGAACCGCAGCCGCTCGCTGGGTTTTGCTGCTGGGAACAGCTCACCCTGGTGCTGAGCGGGGAGTTTCTAGCCCTCGGTTCAAAGGGCAGGAGCAGAAATGGTCCCTGCGGGACCATCGAGGGAAGGAACTTGAGCCCAGCGCCTGCATTTAATTCCTCAGCAGCCCAGGGACTGGCTGAGGGCACCTTACTGATGGTTTGGCTGCTAGGCCATGCCTCCGTAAGCAGAATTCTTCTGAGGCTGATGCCTGGCTTGTTCTCTCCTCTCTCCCAGATCAAAAATGACGGTCAAAGCTGTAAAAATGCCGTGCACCACTCCAAATGTTTATACTAAAGTGCCTGACGGAGGATGGGGTTGGACGGTTGCTTTTGCTTTCTTCTTCGTGGAAGCTCTGACGTACGGCATCATCAAATCCTTCGGCGTCTTCTTCAACGACCTGATGGACAGCTTTGACGAAACCAACAGCAGGATATCCTGGATCATATCCATCTGTGTGTTTGTGCAGACCTTCACAGGTAAGAGTAAAGGGCACCGGTCAGAAGGTGCAGCCGTGCTGCTGACTCAGCACCCGAGGGCCTGGTATCTGGGATATCTGGGACTTGTCTCTAATGGCTCCACGCCACGTAACCCCATAAAGCCTGGAGGCCGTGTTCCTGGAACACCACAGATCGGCTGTCTGGACCTGCCAGTCTCTCTGAGCCACTTGTCCTGCATGGCATGAGGGTGCAGCCCCCGTCCCTGGCTCCAGGGGCTGAGCCCAGCCCGGCTGCTCGGCTCTCATCAGCAAGGAAACTGATGAAAAGAGAATTTCACAACCTAATTCCTCAGTGAAAAGCCTCAAACGTAACCTGAGCTTCACCGAAACCCGCTTGTTTCAATGGGTTTTGCCGCAGGTTTGTCCCGGGCTGCCATGCCTGGGTCTCTTCTGGAAGCTTTTTACCTGGGGGTGGTTGCAGGGGCGATGCTCTGCGAGGTTGAACGGGGAAGGCGATAACGTGGTGGGGACAGGGAGAGGGCAGAGGTGCAAGGAGAAGCTCCGAAGGGGATGGCAGCCGGGGAAGCTGCTGACCTGTGTGTTAACCACCGCCCTGTGCTGCCCACAGCTCCTCTGTCAACCGTCCTAAGCAATCGCTTCGGTCACCGCTTCGTGGTGATGGCCGGCGGGGTGCTGGTCAGCACGGGCATGGTCACTGCCTCCTTCGCCCGCACCGTCGCGGACATGTACGTCACCATCGGCCTCGTTTCTGGTGAGTTGTCCCCGTCCCAGTCCCTCCGTGCACCTTCACGTGGCTTCCAGCCAGCTCTGCCTGGGCGCTGGGCAGGAGCCCTGCTCGCTGCTGGTTTAACTGGGATCGCTGGGGAGGAGAGAGCCCTTTGCAGGTCAAATCCTCCTCCTTTTCCCTCGCTTCTTGTCCCTGTTATCTCGCCCTTTTTCCAATCTGGCCTGGGTGCCCCGCTCACATCTGCTGCCAGGGAGCTTTGCCTCGCGTACGGGGGACAACTGCTGCGGGCTCAGAGCCTTAAAGCAGATGAGGTCCTGAAAGCAAACACTGCTCTGTTTGGGAACAGGAGGCACTGCCTAGCAGGTTTGGGGTTTTGGGCCTTGTGTTTTGTTTTCTTCTTGGGTTTTGCTTTTGTTTTTTTTCTCTCGTCCAATTTAAAAAAATAACATTTTGGTTTCCCCAATGGTTTTCTTCCAGGGTGACTTGCTGAGTTGGCCGAAATGATACTGTAATCTCACCACCAGGAAAGCTGACTTAACGTGTTCTCGCATCAGTGTTTCCCCCTCCCTTTCTTGTTGTTATGGCAATTTTTGGCATTTATTCACAGGCCTCGGATACTGCCTCTCTTTCCTCCCGACTGTCACCATTTTATCACAGTATTTTGACAAAAGGCGCTCGCTGGTCACAGCAGTGGCATCGACAGGGGAATGTTTTGCTGTCTTCTCCTTCGCACCAGGTACGGTGCCTGAATTCCGTGAATTCCTGCATGC